CCTGGGAATTACGTGGAGTCTATCATGCATTATTCTGAGTAAAGCTCAGCAGGGCTGTCTCCCTCACAGGAATAGTCAGGTCTTCCCAGATTATCAAAAGGCCCTGGGGATTCCCCTCCAGTGAAATGAATGAAGGATACAAATGACAAAAGCTACCTTTTTTTTTTTTTTTTGGTTTATCCCTCAGTATTAAAACAAAAAAGCAAGCTGAATTTGAACAAATGGATCTTTCTGCCATCACTTATACTATGCTGAACTGTTTGGATTGAAATAAAGTGACGGTTTCTGAATATATCAGAGGTATAACAGCGTAACTATGTGAAACAAATCAGGTTAAGACTGATTCAGAAAAAAAATCTGGGATCTTTCTCAGGAATACTGTACACCCTTGGGATTTCTCCTCCTGCAGAACCTGTGGCACTGGATGACCTGCAGTGCCTGAGCTCACGGTTAGCCGCGTGGCCCAGTGCGTGCCCTAGCCCCACACTCGCTTCCACTTGTACGAGGAGGGGGAGCCGATATTTAAGTATCATACATAACCATTTTTGTAACTGTTTCAGATGGCCTATTTCCTCTTCAGCACTGTAAATTCTGCATTTTCTCAGCACTTGAGTGCTCCGAACAAGTTAATGTTGAGCTGACTTGCATCCCTTCATGTTTCTCAGTTCGTAGATTATGAGATCAATTTGCGTCTCCATTCTGAGGGTGGTTTGTCTTACTGGGCTGCTGCTGCGAGACTGCGTTGCTGCTGCTGGCTGTGTGCCCACAGGGGTGACGGTGCGGCTGGCTTCAGGGGCTCAGGTGGGCATGCCGAGGTAGACAGGAAGGCTCCTGAGGTTCTAGACAGGTGAACAGTAGAAGTGCCCTGCTCACTAGGTTCAGTTCCTAAACCCTGGCCTTAGGTGCTGTTTTGAGGAGTAGGATCTTAGAGGGGTCAGACCAACTATTACTTTACTTCTTTCACTATTTAGGAAACAAAAAAAATTTTTTTAATAGTTTATTTTCAATTCTCTTGAGAGTCACTGGGAATAAAAGGCTTGCTCCTGTGCTCTCTGAATGTTATTAATAGCAAGTGTTAGCTGCTGTTGAATTTGTTTACTCACTTAGAAAAGATAACTATTCCCCTGATTCTGTATGTTTGGCCTTTGCCGTAGCTGCTCTTGGTGAGAATCTGAACCTTATACTTCAGATTAAGAATAGTGGGATGAGTGGTATAAGGCCAAGTGCTTATTCAAGTTTTTTTTTTCTTTTCCCTTCATCTGCACAATTACAGCTTTGAATTCAGTGGAGTTTGGAAGGCAGATGACTTTAGTCATCTCTTGTGTAATAGATATTGAAAAAAATCCAGGAGGCGGGCTGTTCGGCAGGTAAATACCATGGTGACACACCAGCTCACAGGCCAAAGCTGCCCGGGGTCCTTCCTGGTCTCAGTGACCTGGCCGGAAGAGGGCTTTGCCAGGTGACTTCCCCGTGCTGGGTGAGAGGTGAGAGGCGGCAGCTGCATGTATTTCAGACGTGGGCCTTGAACATGATAGCGCAGGTGAGGAACGTGACTGAAAAGTGAGCAGTGTAGTAGGTGTGAGGGAGTGCAGACAGAGCTAATACTCTACCTATGAATCTGTTATCAGAGCACAAAACTCATCACCATGTAGCTGAGACCCAGAGAGTGTTTCCTTAAGAATTTTGTTCCAAAGTTGCAGGTTTTTTTCCTCACACATTGCAGTTAGCAAAGATTTCCCGGAGACTGCATTTCATTTTCATTAACTTGCCTCCAGTACACTGTAAATTACACTTCATACTTTGTTAGGTCACCTTGATACTCTTAATTCCGTCTTCCTTCAAAGTAATGGCCCTTGAGTGTCCTCTGAGCCTTCAGCTTCATTATGGATGCAACCAAGACTAGACTTGGAGAGGTTAAACTCTTTTAGTGTTGGTGTGTAACTAGGAAAACTGTTTTGAAATTAGATGTTCAAAGTTATTTAAATAGTTTTTTGCTGAAAAAGCTTAGTGGACTAATAAAGCAGAAGGTATTTCAAAATCCAGCAAATGGCTCCCACAGCTCCCACCTTCAGAAGCCCAGAAGACAACTGTGCGCACAAAGTTGGTGGTGAAGGAAAAAAAGGTGGTGGTGGTCAGCTTGCCTGTTGGACCCCTGCTGGACCGGGGAGCTGAGAAGATACTATTGAAGACCTGCAGCACAGGGATCCCTGGGTCAGCCGACTTCTCCTATATTTTTTAGTACTAATGTGTGTGTGTAGTTTTTTGTTTTAAAAACAACACCTGTTGGATTTTCTGCATATTTTATGTTTTTTGTACAGTTTTAAATTCTGTATATTGTTTTGGAAGGATACTATGTAATGATGATGGGCCAGGCTTAAAGTCATTGGAGACTTTTAATATTTCATAGACTGCATGTTATTAATAGTCTGTGAGGGTAGTATTTGTTTTATTGTAAGTTCACCCCATTGTAAAATAAACTACAAGATGGTTGGTAGTAGGAATTCTAAACGAATGCAGAAATCTTACATGCTACATAGTATTGTGGCAAAGGTGATTCCGGTATAAAATCTGCTGACCAGTAAGCAACCATTTTTTTGGGCTAGAGGAGGTCCATTTCCTCTTGAAGTGTTTTTGACTTGTGTCCACTCCCTTTTGCCTTTAAAACAGGGATTTGACTTACAAGTTGTTCCCTAGTATTACTGTTGGACAGGCCACGGGGATTTCAACGAAAAGCATATTTTCTTGCTGACCTTATGACCTAGGCAATAAATTGAAAACCTAAATCTTGTCAACATGTCAAAATCTAGATTTGAGAGATTGAGCCTGTCGTTTCAAATACTATGAACCCCTTACAATGTCTTGTTTAGTACTTCCCATCTCTTGTCGACTTGCTTTTCTGTCTTCTCCAGGACACCTGCTATTCCTACCGCAGGGTTAAGGACCTGCTACTTTTGCTGTGTTCCTAAGAGTCACTGCGTGAGACATTGTCCTTCCTCCTCTTCCCCTCCTGCTGCTGTTTATTACCCAGCTAGAGAGACTTTTCTGTGTCTTCACAGTGGTCTCTGTAATGTAGCTGTGCGCCTCAGCAATCTCATGATCACTAAGATTTTTCTGTCTGAGAGGCATGAAAATGACAGCGTGCTTTTATCCTTTGATGCTCACTTTCTTTTAGCAGGTGGCCATTCTGCATTAAGAACTGGTACTTTTTCCTTACGTTTCTTTCTCCATGGAGAGAGCGTGGCATGACCTGAAGGCCACCCCTCTCCGGAAAAGGCCTTGATGGAGGAGCTAGCAGGTGGTTGACACATCTTGGAAAAGAATGGGGATCCGCATCACTTCTCATCTGTTTGCTTCCGAACTTCTTTGGCCAGAAACTCCTGATCAGTGTTAAGGTGATAATTTCCCTCACGTGATTTACTTAAAGAGTTTTAGAGCTAGATGAGATTTCAGAAATTTTAGTTCAGTCTCATTTTACTGATGAGGTTAGATGTTTCATTTCAGGTAACAGCTAGTTAACAACAGTAGAATCCCTGACTCAGCGCCTGGTACTCTTTCTGCCATGTCTTAATTGTGTTATATGTTTTAAAGTTCTACTTGATGTCTTCAGGAAGATACTTGAAAAGTTAACACTATGTTTCAATTAATACAATTCAAAGTGTTGTTTAAAGGAGTGTATTGAGTGCGGCCTTAATTAGTAAAAGTCACCTTCATTTTAACCCTTTTGAAACGACACTCAGTACAAACGGTCTTTTTCATTGGGTGCATGTAGCTAAAATGGTAGTGTCTCAGCACTGGAGGGCGCAGCACAGCCTTATCTGAGAGAGCCTTAGAAAACAGTTCTTGAATGGAGGCAACGCGCTCATTACCTTAAGTTTATTTTGTGCTGAGCTTTGTTGATTTGAGAATCTCATACTTTAAAAAAAAAATTGACAAAAAAATGACAGGGCCTGTGTATAAATGATCCTTGCTAAATATCTTGAGGTTTTTTTTTTTTGTAAAAAAATTAAACAAAAAGCAGACAAAAAGCTTATTTTCACATTAAAATGGAAACGTCTTTTGCAACTTCAGAATTCTATGGAAGAGCAGTTTTTATCATATTTTGTGTCCATGCATCTTTTTCTTAACAAAATAGTTTACAGAAAAGAATGTAAACAATTTGTGACCTGGCCAGTTGTGCCCGCAGCTCCCGGAGGGAGGGCTGGTGTCTCGCCTTCAGTAAGGACGAGAGGTAGGAAACCTGAGGAGCGTCTGTTGCCAGAAACGTTTCTTGTGTGTGCCATTAAACCACCTCCAGATGAGTTGGGGGGACATTTCACTTTTTAATTTTGAAACTGTTTTTGAAATTAATTATTGCTGTGTACTAAGAACTTGGCCTAAATAAAATCCTACAAGGTGTATCCAAATGTCTTGAGAGCGTATTTCTGCAAGTAACCTTTTTGGCCGCGCCGTGTGCAGCATCTCAGTTCGCTGACCCGGGAGTGAACCTGAGCCCCACCAGTGAAAGCCCGCAGTCCTCACCCCTGGGTGTAAGTTACAAGTGCGGTGTGCTGCAGTCCGTGGGGTGGCAAGAGTTGGACACGACTGAGCGACTTCCCTTTCCTTCACTGGAGAAGGCAATGAATGGCACCCCACTCCAGTGTTCTCGCCTGGAGAATCGCAGGGACGGCAGAGCCTGGGGGGCTGCCGTCTCTGGGGTCGCACAGGGTCGGACACGACTGATGCGACGCAGCAGCAACATGATTGTAAATACATTCGAATCCACACTTACACATACCTTGACATGGCAGTGATACCAAGACTTTCAAACAAAAAGCAACCTTTTTTGTTCTAGTTCTTCCCTGTGTTGTTTAAAGGGGTAAAAATATTTTCAGTTGAACACATCAAATTGTAGTTTATCTTCACGCTTTATGTGCATGTTACAATCTGTTTTGGGTACCTCAACATAAACAGCAAAACCAGGTTCTTACGGTGCCGATCCACAAACAGTCCAGTACAGTTTAGACGTTTAAATGAATCTATGTATTCTTTTTATTAAGGACTGGATAAGCTGACATAATGGAAACACGTAAATTACACTGACCGCATGACTACTGTCCTAAGCCATTACAATAGTTTACTGACAGTAACTTGGCAAGAATAAGTAACTTGGAAAATAACTTAATCCAGCAGTAGAACAAAAACATCGTCAGTAGTACTGAATATATCTCTCATATATATATATCTATATATAGGTTTGCACAATCAGGGAGCAAGGCACATAATGAAATGAGTGTACATTTAAGTAGAAGAAAATAATAGCAACAAAGCTGAAAGAAAAACTGTAACTTCATCTTTACCGAGCTGTGCGTAATCATCTGAATAATGTCCTCTATCCTGTACTTTCAATGCAATTCCTTTTGCCTTTTTCATGCTTTAAAAAGCTATATTCCTACATTGTATATATTTATGGCAAAGCTCCCACAGCCTGGATGTTAACATGAGCCTTTACTCCATTTTTTTTTTTTTTTTTTAAAGAAATGGGAAGAGAGGGAGCAATCTCAGTTAAATATAATGTGCAATTTTTCTTTAAAACAGTAAACAATGCTTTTACGACATTTACACAAGTTGATATTTTAAATGTACATTTCTATAAAAGGAGTTCACTAGTGGCTGACAAAATTAATGAAACATTCCAGTTAATGCTTTTTTTTTTTCCCCTAGGAGAAATTATTTACAAGTAGAGAAATATAGGAGGTGGTAATCATGAAAAATGGCAGTTTTTGGTATTAGGTTACAATAAACTTAACAAACAATGGACAGTTTGCAGATTTTGTTTAAGTGCCACAAGCATGTCCTGCCTAAGAAGAGGTTGAGGCTTCAATTATGAGCTTGGTATTAATAGCCATCCATGTTCAACATTCATTCTGAACTTGGCCATCTTTTAAATATGTAGTATTCACCATCACCCTGACTTGACTCACTTGTCTAAATGTCTTTGGTAGAAAGCAGCCAGACCTTGATTAGGTAGATGAAGCCATCTCTTGTGAGACAGTCACTTTTTCTGTTTCTGCACCAACTAGAAACACCTTCCTTCTTTCATTAGCACCTCAAAGTTTGCTTGTTAGATTTTTTTTTATGCTGTTCCTCCAAGAGAGTTCAAGGCACTGGGAATTATAGATGTTTTCTAAATGGTTTATACTTCAACAAGCAAAGAGCAAACCAATTGGAGATTATTTCCTTCATGTTTATCAAGTATATTGTGTTTAGCTTATTTTTACTTAGCAAGTGTATTCTATAGCTAAATTTCAGATTTCTTATACATCTATAAGAACTGAACACTTGTTTACTTTGAGGGAGACTAGTAAAGAGATAACAATGGTCTTCCATTCAATTTTTAAAGGAAAATAAATCTTAATTCTGTACTACTTGCATCTCTCCATGGATCAAATCTCAATTTTGTGAGTGGGCAACCATTCCTATAGGGTCAGGAATAACTTGCTATATGTAAATAATGTGAAGTGTATAAAACAAAACTTCAAGTGCCAAAAGGTTCTTGCAACCTAAAGTGATTTTTAGCAATAAACATCCTCTTACAAGTGTACAAATCCAAATTATTTAAAGGAAGTCACTACACCTATAATCACAGGATCATACAGTTTTAATTGGTTTAAACAAAATCTGTGAGGTTATGAGATTACATAAGTTAAAAATTGTTAGTTCTAAAGTTACATAAAACCTACATGAAACAAGTTTGGTAATATAGAAAACTAGGAAAAGGTTTTCTTGTTAAAATCACCTTGTGTCTGTAACATAAAATTGCTTTTAGCTGTGGGAAAAAGAGGGACAAGGGGTTCTGTTGGTGGCCCGATGATAGTCAAATCAATCCATTACCTGAAGTTTTTTTCAGGCTCCTTATAGCCTAACATCCTCGACATGAGCTTATTAGCAGTTGTATTCTCCCAGAATAGCAGCTTCTGAAACTCTTAATCGGATGCACAGCTCCTATTAACCTTGACCTCGGAGTTGTTAATCTATTGGAATTATTCTTCATGATCCCCCCAATTCTGTTTACCTTTTTGATCTCCTCAGGACTGCTTTTAGTGGCAAGTAAACTTACATGGAGATGGGACTGCCTAGATAGTTCGCAGCCCTTCCTTAGCAGGCTATGCCGGCAGGGGGCAGGAGCACCTTGATGTCCGAGGACTGTGGGACAGTCTGTGGGATGTTCCTCTGAGATGTTCTGATGAAAACTGTTTCCTGTAACTTGTGAAGAATCAGCAATCTTATCTTAAAAAGCCCCAGAAATAAAAAGAACACCCAATTTACAGTGAAGTGGGTACCTGGAAACCTTAAGAGTAGTTACTTTTTCCAAGAGCTGAATTCTGCAGCAGCTAAGGGGAAAAAAAAAATATTTGGGTGATAAAAGCCAAGCTTCAGTAAAGAATAGTCTAACGTAGCTGTGAACTTAATGTTTTAACAGAACAGGCTTTGCTGCCCTTCAGACTTGTTGCCAAAACTTTAAGCATAGGCTGGATCCAATTTTGAAATTTTGTGGTAAAGTTAAGGATGTCACTAATTAGCAAGTCATTAGCTCTTAACAGGCACCTGTCTGCACTGCCCTCAACAGCAGGATACTATTGATTTTTCAGTACAGCCAAGCCAGCTGACGGACTGTCTCCCTTGCCCTGGCGAAGCTTTGCTGGGTTAGCGGACCTGAGCAGAAGCCTGTGGAAGAAGGCACAGTACTGTGTCATCTGGCAGTATTTTTCCTGAACACACCGGGGAAGAAGAGAGCCAAAACAACAGCAGTCTCCAAACCACATGCCAACAAAAATCCCAATTGAAAAAAAAAACCTAGGGAGTAAAACATTGGAAGTATATCTAAAATATAATTTTTGTTTTTTTCGATTCAGTTGTTTCACATAAAGAGGAAAAATAGTTGATTAACAGCCTTGTCTTTGGAGAAATGTAAAGGGCTACAGCCTGTTGTCAGACAGTCACCAAGCCACTGACAGCTCCTCTCCTCTGGCTGTGTTCTCCTGGTGTTCTAAAGGATGTCTGCTCTCTCAGGAAAATGATACACTAGAAGAAGCATCAGTTCAGGATGGCTACCGTCAGGACTGACACAAGCAAGAAGGCCCAGGAAATCCCCCGCTGAAAAAAAAAGGTTGGATCTTACGGCTCCAACCAGGAGTGAAGGAAGACTGAGGAAACATGATTTCTTCCCTCAGCGAAAGCTGTGCATCCTCATGTAAGAGACCACCACCACAGTGAAAAACCCTAGTGATGAACATTTATACCACTGGATTCAGAGTCTTCAAAGTCCTCTATCTCACAAGTAAGGGGGATCCTTAGAAGACAAAGCTGCAGGCAGAAGACTGGGGAATCACTTCATTCGTGAGTCACAGTGGTGCTTGGCAGTGTTACTCAAATGTACTCAAATCGCAGTGCATGCTTAAATGAACAATATAGATGTGGTAAAGGTCACTTCATAACCATAAGAATATCAAGCACATAAAACTTTGTGAACTGAAACATCTAAAAAAGTATCTTTTAAAGGAGCAGGGCTATAACAAATGCACACTGGTATATATTCTTATTGCTCTATAAACAGGAGTATACTATCACATCCTGGAGATGTTACAATGTGGGGGGGGCGGTTTCCACTTTCTCCGATGCAGTACTTTGTTGCAGAGTGAGAAATCCTGTGTACACAGCACAATCTTGCTAACTCTTGAATTATTTACCATCTCTGTCCCACTTTATGGACATCACTTTTTCCTTAGGGATAGGGTCGAACACTTTTGCAGTTGCATTGGTGATCCCTATTCACAACAGGCAAAGATGTTCATTACAAGGTGTGCTGACTTATCACTGCTGGGGAGGTACTTTTTATTCTCCCATTTAAGAGCAGTTCTAAGGTTGGCCTAACAGTCAATTTATCATCACAAATTGCTAAGTCAGTACACATTTCTCAAATACCAAGGAAAGTTCAGAGGGGAAAATAAAACATCTAGAAGTACAGTGTGAAGCATGTGGAATTACAGTGTCGTCAGAGCAATGGTTCCATGTTGCACCAAACTGCATGTGCACAGTATGTAATGTCACTACTGTCCTTGGACTACAGACTCCATCAGAATGCCTGGTAACTTGGATAAGTCTCTACAACAGGGCTACAACAAGCAAGGACCCTCGTGTGCTCCGGTCACCATGGATGAAATCGTCAAAACACTCACTTCCCCCCGCCCCCATGGCAGTCCCATACTTAAATGAATTCTTACGTCACATTACTAGCTACAAAACCCTAATTAATGACAGCGGCACAGGGGCCCGTCTCGTCCTCTAATCCATCCTTCAGGCCGCAACACAGAAAATACGCATTGCAGAAGGCGATTTTGTTGTTCATAATGATGCAACATAACAGACAAAGGATGTGAGTACCTGATATACCAGTTGTCTATGGATACCTAATATCAACACCCACTCACAGCACACACTATAAGGAGGTAACTGTTGACCCAAAGACACGCCGGGACAGAGCATTCCGAGGGTATCATGTTGGATAGTCTCTTACAATAAATCAAAGCAAGGATCATGAAACCAAACTTGATGGAGCTTCACAAGCTCGTGGAAAGGATCCCAACAGTACAGAAAGAACTACAGGATAACAGCACTGTGATAGGCAAAGAGCTTACCTGTGATAGAGCAGTCTAGATTCCGTTGGGGTAGCAGTACTGCAACTAGAATGGTTTAGTCACACCACATATTTATTGTTTTCTATGCACAACCACACACTGATAGTGTCTGAAAACTTCCCCGCCCTGCACTATGACCCGTTCTATGAAACAGATTCCTAATTAAAGTGCCCCTTTATGTAGAAAAATGAAGTGTCAAGCAGTTCTAACTTCAGCCAACTGGGGGAAAAAACACAAAAGCCCATAGATACACCAAACATTCTGGTTGTCTCCTCAAACTGAGAATTAGCACATTATACATCTATCTTAATATATAATACACAACATGCACAGAAAGGCCACACATGGACATTTATAAAATACCTCCTAAATAAGTCTGAAGTTTTTGGTCCAATCCAAATGATAGATAACAGAAATCATAAGGGACAAGACATATATCCCCTTCCATGCCGCTGCCACCCAAAATACACAAAACTCATTTTCAGATTAGGAGAGAAAAAGAATAAATAGAATCACTTTCAGCTATATATATACATATAGATATATGTATACATATATATACATACACACGCTACCTATCTATATATGTATAGCTATGTGTGTACCCGCACATGTATACACACACATAGAGCTGAACACTACCTGAATAACGACGACATACCAGGAGGCTCTGAACACCTGAATTCACAGATGATCAGGTGAGCTGATTGTAGAACTGATTACAGATTGCATGAAAATAAAACCCTACGGTAGCTACCAATCTCTTGAGAGCTTGGTGTTCTGGTCTCTCTTGGGGGGAGCGGGAGGCGGTCCTCTCCGCAACGTTGCATAGCCTGATATATGACTGCCTCCGTAAGCGGCTTTCTGCTGCTCAGAAAGCAGTTCGGGGGGTGGCGGGGGCAATGCCATGTCATCCATGGTGGCCGTGGGCTCCGCTCTAGACACGCGGGAGGAGGAGAGCGAGCCGTGCCGGGTGATGGACTTGCGCTGCAGTGTCCTGTTGAGGTCAGCCAGGAAGCCAGGCTGCACACTAAGGCTGGACTTGGGCGAGGTGGGCACTTGCGGCGCGACTGCGGCCGTGGCTGGCGGCTCCGAGATCTCGGCTTGAGTGAGGCGGGTGCTATCGTTCCGTTTGGGTCGTGTGGGCGGAGGGGCCTTCTTCACCGACGTTTTGGACCAGGGCTGCGGCTGCGGGTTAACAACGGCCACTTTTGGAGAGGTGCTTCCTGAGAACACTGCTGGGATGTCGATGGGGGGCAGAGGAAGCTCGGTTTCTGGCGGAGGCGGTGGGAAGTCGGAATCGGATGGAGGAGAAGGGAACTCCACCGTGGAGTCCTTGCCGCGCCCGCTCAGCGCAGCCGCCTTCGAGGACACGCATCCTTGCTGGAGCACCCCGGGAAGGTTAACTCCGGAAAGATGGAGTTTTCCTGGCTTGGGGGGCGCTGCTGGAGGTGGTGGGGTCTCCTTGCCAGGAGACCCCGAGGGTTCGGCTGGGGATGCGAACTTGCTGATTAGACTGTCTACTGAGGGTTTCTTGGGCTCAGGGTGCTCCGCACAGCTGCTGGACTTAATGCTGGAGTTGCGCTGCGGGGTCGGGGGCGGTTTCTTTCCCCCGGGGCTGCAGGTTTTACTGGTCTTTTTGCCGGGAGAGCTGCTTTTGTCGGGGGCAGGAGCCGCTGTGGGTGTGGCTGGCGGCGGTGGTGGTGGCGGCGGCGGAGGCTGCGGGGCCGGGGCGGGCGGCGGTGGGGGCGGAGGGAACACCAGGCTGCTCTCCGGGGGAGGCGGGGGGAAGTCCGGAGAAGGGACTGGGACGGAGCTGGGCTGCCACTTGGGCTTCGCTTTCACGGCAGGGGGGGACTGTGGGGCGAGGCTGACTGAGGCGGGCTTTAAGGGCGGCCCCTCGGTGGGAGGTGGGGCTGGAGGTGGGGGGAACTGGCTGGCTATCTGCTTCACCACGGAGGGCGCCGGGGACAGCGGGGAGGGGGGTGGTTTTACACTGAAGCTCTGCTGCTTGGGTAGCGTGGGCGGGGGCACCGGACCCGGAGGAACAAGGGGAGAGGGTGGAACGTGAGACACAGGAAGAACTGGCTGCTTTTTTACTGGGGGGACTGGCGGAGTAGGTGTGGGTGGCAACGATTGTGTCACTGCGGGGGGCACCGTCTTGGTGCTGGTTGGGGGGGGCAAGGTCACAAGGGGCTTGGGGAGGGGGTGGGGGTGGGAGCGGTGGTGAAGGCTGTGAGGCCGTGTAGGGGGTGACTAGCTTGGGCTGTGGGGATAAAGGGGGCATGAGTGAGGTGTAGGGTCGATTCACAGACTCCATTCTGGCCTAAAAGGAGTATAAAAGGGAGGTTGGGAGAGAGAAAACACAACAAACAAAACAGTTACAGAGGTTAAGATTTGATTGTTAAACTAAAAAGCAAGGAATCAGAGACATGCATGAAAGGATGCAGCTGCTGGTGATGGTAAAGATGGACAATGGCAGGAAGGCTAAAGTCCAACTCCCTGGGTAACAAGGGCAGGGAGAAAATCTGTTTACCTAACAATCTTCTCTAATGCCTAGACTGCTTAACTACCTGGGGATAATTTCCTGCAGCAAGTCTGTCTGGATGATGCTTTCTGACCTCTGGTTTTCACACACCCTGCCCCACGGTGAGCGCCAGGGCCTCGGAGCATGGGACCGCCCCCTGGACTGTGGCAGAGGGAGATGTGATGACTGGAGTTCACCTTTCGGTCCAAGACTGCATCCACATCAAGCAGATGCCATAACTGGGTTTAGGAGAGCTGGTGGAGGGCCTCCAGAAGAATGAGGATGGCTTTTTGATGCTAGTGAGCGGTATGAGTATGAGAATGTTCAGCAGGCGTGCACAGTCACACAGCAATGAATGAGCTTGGCACACACACTCGTGTCCGTGAGACACTTGCATCCAACATGCACAGAAGTCCAGCAATGCAGGTAAAGGGGGGTGTTCTTTACATGTGTTTTACTGGAAAATACATAAAGAAATGCTTCATAAACATTACAGCTAAAGATCATAAAAATACCATACAGAAAAAGCCAGAAGAAAATGAGAGGAAACTTTAGAAGGCTAAAGGAAATGTATCAAGACACAGGAGCTAGTTTGCCAACAACTACTGCCAGCCCATCTGAGCACCTCTTGGCATGGCCCAAAGTACCACACCCAGTCATTTATTTTATAGAGCTACTCATGCATGAATGTGGTTCAAGTGCTTCTGAAAGCAGAGGAAGGACTTTGGCTTAGTAACTCTAGGTATATCTTTTGGGCTCTTTGAACAAACTGTGAGGATCCAAGATAAACCATCTGTTTCCAATTCTGAATGACATCTAATGAGCACTGGGAATGCTTAGGTTAGTAGACTAGAAGGCTCATGACAGTGCTGAGTTCTAGTGTCCATCAGGTCATTCGCATGTTCCTTTAATAACTGCACATCCAAATAAAAGCATTAGTGTGCAAGATCTGGTTACAGGAGTCACCCAGGTTAATGTGCTTCCAAAGAACAGCCCCTGACCTTGACCCTGTCTTGGCTGCTGCAGGGGTGGAGACCTTAGCTGTGCTGGCCTCCTCATGTGGCACCTGAGACTGTGGTAACAAGAAGAAACACACAGGGGGTCAGGACTCAGGCACAGTGTCAGTGCTGTGCGGCGGAGTTCATGGTTTTTCTGAAACTACGTGCCATGAGGTGCTCTGCTGCTTGATCACAGACCGTTTGGACCCTTTGCTTCCCTTGGCCTTTCTCCTAACAGTTGGCTAGTTCCACAGTTTAAAATGCACATGGATGACACCATTAAAATTAAGTTCGGTAAGGTAAAGGACTCATCTTTAGGCACCTGAATTTTGTAAGCGCAGCTTCTCTGCAATGTATATGGAATATCAGCACCAGATAGAACTGTTCCATTCAAATTGATTACATATGGGAAGGAAAAAAATTCCTTAACAGTCTGAGCCTCTGATAAGGGGGTTAAACTGTCCTTGTCTTGAGAATTCAGGTTATTAGCACCAATTCTCAAATATTTATTCCTAAGAGAAGGTGTTCCACCCCCACACTGGGCTACCTATGCCTCCTCCACCCTCCCCAAGTCCAGTTAATCAATCACATATGGAAATAAAGGAATAAATTGAGGGGAAATAGCCATTTAACTCTCACTGAATGTACTTGTGTGAGTGATTCAGAGAAGAAAAACAAAAATCAGAATGATTTTTGGATGAAAACAGAATGGCCAGACTGGGCGAGCTCCTGGCTCCCGGCCTCGGCATGTGCCCGCGCCGCTAAGAGCTGGGCCGCCACGGCCCGGCCCACTGGACAGCAGAGACCGCCTGCCATGGGGAACCAGAGGCTCCCTCTGTGTCTAAGCGGCCTGGCAATGACTGTACTTGTCCTTCAGCGTCAATGAACAACCTTCTATGCAAGGCTTGGGGGGCCAGTATTTTAAGGGGATTAATTGGAATTTAGTCTTCCACATAAACTGTAAATTGAGGAAAATTTATCAGTGTGCAAAGAAATGCCAAAAAGCATAAAAGAAAAGGAGTTTGAATAAGTTAATAGCCAATGAAGTAATAACTCGTGGCAGCTTCTCTGGAGCAACAGCAAGGCTTTGGCGCTAGAGGGTGCTGTTGCTCCATCCAAATTAACAGAGGAGAGGAGGAGAGTGTTATTTCTTAAAATTCTGAGCCACAACTGCTAGGTGGGTTTTTTTTGTTTTTTTTTTTTTTTTTTTGAGATCTTAGATCATCAGAGCCAATTCATAAATATCCATTTCTGAGAAGCAAAGAAAAGAATACTGAGATTAGGCCAAGAAACCTTCCGAATGAAGGAATCAAAGAGCAGTACGCTACCCGCCTCCCCACCGGAACACTAGAGCGACTTCCCCTCTACCCTGAGCCGAGCGCGTTACCTTGCTGGACTCTTCCAGCTGTGTGCCTCGCTTCCAGGCCTCAGAGAAGATGGAGCTCACCATGCTCTGGGAGCGGACGTGTCCTGCCGGCTGGGTGTCAGACAGTCCACTGTCAGACTGACTGGAGTGATTGGACTGAGACTCTGAAACATTTCAAAAGTCAGATTAAGTAAGTATTGTGACAGTATAAATATGTACATCTGTATAAAGCTTTCACTCGAGATTAGCCGCGATGCAGAATGGCAGCAACTTACTGTTACCTGACCCATTTCACACAGACACAGCCCGTGTTTTCCACTAGACAACCTCTCTCACCCTAGGGCAAATAGGAGATCTCGATTCTTTTTAAACTGCTCACCAGGAGAAACTGATAACTACAACAAAAGGTCCATGTCACATGTGCTGTCCTGACAACCTACCTTGTAAGAACTCCTAGCAAATAAGGAAATCAATTAGAAGAGTGATTTTTAAAAATCATATCTTCATTATATTTGAGAATCCATCTTTTTATATAATCCTGGCTCCAGGCCATCTCAGAGACTTCTCACTTATGAATTCAGATCCATACATGATGATTACTGCTTTTATCTCAGCAATGAACAATACTGAGAATCTGACCACCAAGTGAGAAGTGTGTTTCCTAGGACTTCGGGTGTTGGCACCACAATGAAGCAGCACATGGAGACATTTCAAGGGCCCTGGGAATGGCTGAGCACATAGTGGAATCTGACTGACACCTACGGTGCGGGAACTAAAAAAGATGATTTCACTGGACGTCAAGTCAGGTGAGGTAACCTTACGGGAGCACCTAGTCCAATGTCTGGTATCTGGTCAGAGAAGCAAATGTTAAAGCTAGTCCCACTTCTCTGTAAGGAGAGGATATGATTAGACTGCAGTATTAAGTCAGTTCAGCCAAATTAAAATATGCAAATATAATAGCCACAAACTCCTTTAGATAAAGTTAAGACAATATCTTCAGGGTAAAAAATAGAAGCAATAGAGGATAAAATCAACTATTTTCTTAAGAGTTTAACATCTAGGACAGCAGCCTTTAAGACAAGAGGCTGGAGCATATTGCTTCCTGAGCTCTCTTCACATGAATGTGTATGATTTTACAGTTTACATTTAAAAGTCTTCCTAATACTTAATATAGACAGACAGATGACTCTGGAGTGGTAAAAGGCACTATATCACTTCATAAAATACCATTGGTAGCACTCACATTAAGTGCTGCATAAATTTTTAAAATAGACATCTTTTTTCTCAATCTTCCTCTTATTCCATTTTCTATAACCCTACTTGTGACACAGTCTTCTTACTTTGCCTTTCCTAATCCATTACCACAAAAGTTTCTTCCTCCCAATTTAATAAACATTTTATTTTAGAATAGTTACAGACTTACAGAAAAGTTGCAAAGCTAGCACAGAGTTCCTGCATTCCTAGCACCCAGTTTATCTCATTAACATGTTACAATATTCTGTTCCATGTGTCATGACTAAGGAACCAATACTCAGTATCAGCTAAACTCCAAACTTTATTTGGATTTCACTAGTTTTTCCACAATTCCATTTTCTGATAAAGGATCTTATCCAGGTTACCATATTACAGATAGTTGTCATGTCATGTCTATGACAGTTTCTCAGACTTTCCTTGTTTTTGATGACCGTGACAGCTTTAAGAAATACTGGTCAGGGTTTCTGCAGCATGCCTCTCAATTTTTATTTGTCTGATGTTTTTTCTTTGAAGTTATGGATTTGGGGAGGAAGACCAAGGGAGGGAAAATGCCAATCTCATCACACGGTACCAAAGGTACAAGCCATCAATATTACTGATTACCCTGATCAGCTGGCTGAGGCATTACTGTCAGGCTCCTTCACTGTAAGGCTGTGTGTCCCCACTCTGTGCTCTTGGGAAGCAAGTCACTTTGCATAGCCCACAGTCAATGAGAGGGGAGTTAAGCTCTACCTCCTTGAGGGCAGAATATCTGCATAAATCACTTAGAAATCTGTACAGGATATTGGTCTCTTCTTCTCCATTTATTTAATTCAATTATTTACATCCCCATGGACTGATGGCTATTTATTTTATAATCTGGATTACAGCCCTGTACTATGTTATCTTGTTGTTCATATTGTTCTAGCTTTGGCTACTGAGAGCTCTCGTAGGTTGAGTTCTGTGTCCCTTTTACAGACTCCCATCCCTGTGTTCTTTTGAGCACTTCAACACACGATGCTCCAGGCTCATCTTATATATTCTCTGCCACAGCCCTAGAATCAGCCACTCACCAGAGCCCTGACTCCTTTGTTTTGGAAAACGGCACTGAGAAGCCGAGGTGGAGGCTTTTGGTATTCTCAGGGCTACTGGGCCATCACTGCTTCTAGCCCTCTAGGTGGACAGAACCAAAGAACGTATGTGTGGACACTAGCCCATGTATGTATACATTCACAGTGTGTTTCTGTTTACTTATTTAGGGATGAGATTAGTCATATAGCTTCTAAATCAAATAAATACTTAATTATTTCATAATATAGGCCATTAGAACAAAAAATTATGCTTTTAGATGATACAGATATCATTTATGGAACTTTTGAAGGGAAAGAAGCCTATATCTTAAAGATGTGATCATAGCATCCTGGTTTAAAGGATATGGGAATCTGAAAATAAGCACCTTTTTAGTATTACTGATTTCCTCTGAAAACTTTAGAAAGTTTGACTTAAACAGCTTCCTTAACTGTTGATACTGAACAAATTCCAGTTGTTTCCACTCCACTGAGTGGAAACCTGTGAGGATTGGAGGGCAGTTTCATGATGATTCTGAGTACTCTTTTCCAAGCAACTTTCTATCCCCAATTGTGCATCAACACTTGCTTTCAGCAATATGATTTTTAAATATATTTCATAACAAAACTCTTGGCTTTACCACTTCATATACTGGTTTTCCATTTCAAAACATTATGAACTAGGTGATAATATCTGCTCTAAAAATTAAAAATCACATATGTGCCTACTGATTAAAATTTAGAAATTATGCATAGCCCTAGTTTTAAAGAAATCACTCTGAGATAACCAGGTCTCCTATCAGTCACTATACAAACACCTTCCTGTTAGTAGTAGAGTTCTTGAGGCATTTCAACCTACCTGGGATGCTGGAAGAACTGGATCCTGATTTAATGCTGGAGCTGGATAAAGAAGTCCAATCGTAAGCCGATTCTGTCCTCTTCAAAGCTTCCTGATAGTTCATGTAGAGCTGCTTCCCATACTAAATAGAAGGCAGTAAATGAGGACATCTGAACTTTACTGGGTATGATGTGGGCGTATGGGGCAGGAAAAGGGGGACACATTTCTGTTTACTGACTCACAGTTTGTAATAAAATTAATACCCTGTAATACTTCAAAAATTCTTTGAACAGCAGTAAATTAGAATCTACTCTTATCTGTCCTCATTTTTAAGAAGGCAGCAAGAAGTTAAAACTTGAATCTGTTTAGGTTCATTATCAACATAAATATTTTTTCAGTTATTTTTAAAGCAACTTTGATTTTATGTCTATAATAAATTTTATTTTCAGTTACTTAAAAGTGAATAAATATCCTTTCGAGGACTACATATTATCTTTAAGGTGTCCTTAAAAATTTTTTTTAAGACTTTATTTTTTCTAGAGCACTTTTAGGTTCACAGCAAAATTGAGAGGAGGGTAGATTTCCCATGTACATTCACAGAGTCTCCCATTATCAACATTCCCTGCTAGAGTAGTAAATTTGTTATCATCACTTAGCTCACATGGACACCTGAGGTTACCTTAGGTTCACTCTTGGTATTTACATTCTATGGGTTTGGACAAGTGTATAAGGACATATATCTACCGTTGTAGTATCATATGGAGTATAAATATTTTCACTGCCCGAAAAATGTTCCACAATCCACCTATATTCATTTTCCCCCAATCCCAAGGCAGGCGAATTTTTAAAAAAATTCTTTTGTTCAGGTGAAACTCTGCTATATAACAACCATATAGTGCATTGTCCAAAGCCAAAATAAATCACTTTGGTGCTACGTAAGCTTTCACCAGCAGTATTATTCCTTGGATACGAGCTGGTAAAAGTTTATCCCCATCACCGAGGAAAAAAGACACTTAAAATGTGAAACTTAGGCCTGACAGACTGAGACACTGGCAAAATTATGAATATGAAACAAATAATAATTGTAATGACAACCAAAACCATATCATTAAACACCCATCATTCCATTATCAAACCAAAAGAAAACCTGCCTTTGCAATGCGGATACCGTTGACCCACTGGTGCAGGGTCCTCATGTCATCACAACAAAGGTATTTGATGTACTGAGATTTCTTCTGGATCTGCGGGTGCTGCAAGATTAAAGGCAAAACTCAACTAAGTCCCCTGGAGAAATAAGAGATAAATTCTATCAAAGCTTAAACATATCCTGACAAATTACAGGTCACTGGAATAATGGCCAAATCATTTACCTCTTAAACATCCATAAGGTCGAATAAAAGGGTTCTAAGTACTTTTACAAAACAAACAAGGAGGCAACTTGTGTTAAATTTTAGGCCAAGATGTTGAAAGTTAAAAAAAAAATCCTTCCCATCATGGAAAACTCCAAAATACCGCTTCTACCCTTCAAAGGAACGAAGGCTACCACGGCTAACAAAGTCAGTGGAATTTTTCATCTATAACGGAAGCGAATGAATGAATGAACTGAAACCATGCAATCAGAAAACTCCAGATGACAGCGCCTTTGGTAAAGCCTCCGGCGCCTCTCTGAGGGAAACGCCTGGGCGGAGGCGAAGCGGAGGACCAGCACCTGAGAGGCAGCGCTGCTCCCCGCCGTGGGCCGAGCGGCGCCCTGCAGGCCCCTCTGCCGCAGCCCGAACCTTGGTTGAGGCTTGGACGGGAGGTGACTGACTTGACCTTGGCTACAAAGTACGAGTTCAAGAATAGATTCAACACATTTTAACTCCACTGAGCCACAACCTCTAGTTCCCTGGGAAGAAAACTTGGTTCTGGATTTAAAGACTGTTAATTACTACCTCTCTTTTCAGTGGAAAAATTTTATTTCCCCTGGAGAAATATTGAAATTTATGTTCAACTACAAGAGGCTGTATAAATTCTCTAACCAAATGTTTGCTGTGAAAACCCATGAGAGCAATAAAATAAGCAATTTTATAAGTTTTCAATGCAGCAGGAAAATTTGGCCACAAATATAAGTTATGTATATCTGCATTGTTAAAAATCAATCCCTCTGGTTGACAAGAGAACTGTAAATCCATTTATTCCATTTTATTCATTGCTTTACAGAGCTCACCCCCAATGATAAAACATTTAATATCAAAGCCAATTTAGTTATTGAAGGCTGCAGTCGGAATTTTAAACAATTAAGCCCTCAATAGTAACAGGTTAGCAAAACAATACTTAACAGCTTTCTCCCCCGACAGAAGAGGCTCACGGCCTTCTCCTGGAGTCTGCTCCCTTGTCCTCACTGTGTGCCCACTTGCTCAGTCATGTCTCTTTGTGGTCCCATGACTGTGGCCCTGCCAGGCTCCTGTGCCCATGGGAAATAGTGTGCCCTAGTATTTTCAAGAATACTAGAGTGGGTTGCCAGTTCCTATTCCAGGAGCTCCTCCTGACCCAGGGATGGAACTTGAGCCATTCACATCTCCTGCACTAGTGCTACCTGGGAAGACCAGGTCCTCAGTAAGTCATCATAAACCAGCACGGCAATCTTGCAAGGGCAAAGGGCAGGCAGAGGTGTATGTATTTTTCCATAAAAGAAGGATGGGGAATTTTACTTCATTCACTCATTCAAGCAACATCTAATGGGCAAGCACTGCCTGCCAGCTGCCTGAAGTAGGTGCTGGGCTACAGCGTGCATAGAACATAGACGGGCCCACAGCTCATGAAGATAAAGTAAGCTGGTTGAAAGTGTTTTCTCTGGTGTTGCCAACTAGGGCTTAAAGAGCTGTTCTTCATCTCCTGCTTCCCTGAGGCCTCACCTACAGGGCCGGGTTCAGGTATCTGAACAAACAAGGGGCTGCAGGATGGCTCTGAGCCTTTATCGCCATACCCTCTCTTTACAGTGATTTACAAACCATCCTCCCCCGATTCCTTCTATTTCCCAGAAGGCAGTTACCACACATGGGTGCTCAACTGTAGCAGCAGCCTGCCTGAGCCTATGTGTGTGTTCTCATCATTCTGTACAAAGCAGTGTTTTTCATCAATACAACAAAGAAACTCAGAGAAATGATCCTCTATCCTTCTCTCTGCCTCTCTCTAACCTGAGAATCCAAATACTACCCTGAAGAGAACTATGATATGACTGAATATCTGCAGATAACTTCATTTTAGGACCTCAAGAATTCTTTTTCAACTGCCCACGTAATAAAGGCATTCCTTCTACAGCCTTCATTTTGGTCATCCAGGCTCTGCACCAGTGCCTTAGGAGGTAACCTGTTCCTCTAGTATATTGTTATAGTATTTAAAGTGGCATTTATCGAGCACTTAGTATATACCAGGCATCAGGCTGAGTCAGTTCAGTTCAGTCAGTTCAGTCGCTCAGTCGTGTCCAACTCTTTGTGACCCCATGAATCGCAGCACGCCAGGCCTCCCTGTCCATCACAAACTCCTGGAGTTTACTCAGACTCATGCCCATTGAGTCAGCGATGCCATCCAGCCATCTCATCCTCTGTCGTCCCCTTCTCCTCCTGCCCCCAATCCCTCCCAGCATCAGGGTCTTTTCCAACAAATCAACTCTTCGCATGAGGTGGCCAAAGTATTGGAGTTTCAGCTTCAGCATCAGTCCCTCCAATGAACACCCAGGACTGATCTCCTTTAGGATGGACTGGTTGGATCTCCTTGCAGTCCAAGGGACTCTCAAGAGTCTTCTCCAACACCATAGTTCAAAAGCATCAATTTTTCGGCACTCAGCTTTCTTCATAGTCCAACTCTCATATCTATACATGACCACTGGAAAAACCATAGCCTTGACCAGACAGACCTTTGTTGGCAAAGTAATGTCTCTGCTTTTTAATATGCTATCTAGGTTGGTCATAACTTTCCTTCCAAGGAGTAAGCGTCTTTTAACTTCATGGCTGCAGTCGCCATCTGCAGTGATTTTGGAGCCCCCAAAAATAAAGTCTGACATTGTTTCCACTGTCTCCCCATCTATTTCCCATGAGGTGATGGGACCAGATGCCATGATCTCAGTTTTCTGAATGTTAAGCTTTAAGCCAACTTCTTCACTCTCCTCTTTCACTTTCATCAAGAGGCTTTTTAGTTCCTCTTCACTTTCTGCCATAAAGGTGGTGTCATCTGCATATCTGAGGTTATTGATATTTCTCCTGGCACTCTTGATTCTAGCTTGTGCTTCTTAGGCTGAGTAGTTCACATATATTAGCTCACCCCACCCTTGTGAAAACCCCAAGAGTTATATATTATTATTTCTACTATATAAAAAGAAACTGAGGGACAAAAGGGTTAAGACAGCATTCAAAGCTGCTCACCAGTAAGTGAAGAAATCAGTATTTGAAACCATGCCATCTCATTCCAGGGCCTAGACTATCAACGTCACACTACTACTTTATTATGCTTTATTTATAGTAGCTTCCCTGGTAGCTCAGACAGTAAAGTGTCTGCCTGCAATGTGAGAGACCCAAGTTCAATCCCTGGGTTTGGAAGATCCCCCAGAGAAGGAAATGGCAACCCACTTGCCTGGGAAATCTCATGGATCAAGGAACCTGATGGGCTACAGTCCATGGGGTCACAGAGTCAGATGAGACTGAGCGACTTCCCTTTGTACTGCTCTGTTAGGGGTGAGATTGTCTAAATCTGCTGCCTTATTCCTTTTTACCCTACACTATTATTCCACCACTTTAAAAATCACCCAAGAGCTAAGAGTGAGTATGGAGGAGACATCCTTTGCTAAAAACTGGAAGCTGGACATTTAGATTTCCTAAAGACTCCAAAGAGAATACAGGCATGCCTCGTTTTACTGCACTTTCCCTTGGTACACTCTGCAGTTACTGTTTTTTTAAAGAAAAAATTGAAAATCTGTGACAACCCTGCCTCGAGCAGGTCTAGTGGTGTCATTTTTCCAACAGCATTTCCTCACTTCATGCCTTGGTGTCACATTTGGGTAATTCTTGCAAAATTCCAAACTTATACATTATTATTATATTTGTTATTGTGATCTGCGATCAATGATCTTTGCTGTTACTATGACAATGGGCTGAAGGCTCAGATGATGGTTAGCATCTTTAGCAATAAAGCTTTTTAAAATTAAGGTATGTACATTGTGTTTTCTTTTTTACAGACATAATGCTATTGCACATTTTAAATATATTCACTGGGAAGCCACAAAATTCATATAATTTGCTTTATTGCGATATTCACTTTATTACACTGGTCTGGAACTGAACTCACAGCAACTCTGAGTTAAGACTGTATATAATGAAATTGCTCCACCTCCCAAAATGAACAGCTATTAAAAAAGAAAGGTTATCATTTGATTTTTTAAATTATGTTGATTTGGAAAGTTTGCATTCTCTGACAAAAGGCACAAAAATTGAGAATTAAATAAAAACATTTAAGAATAGAATTAAGAAATTTTGGATTACTATCATGCTACCATTTTTCTCTATGTATGCCAGAAATTAGAATGAGACAGACAATTCCTAAAATTCTATAACTAAAAAGTGATGCTCTAACATCTTGGTCCAAGTGCCAGAAGAAAATATTGAATATACACAATCCATTTATTACTCTGGAAATACATACAGACCTGAAAAATCACTTCTCTCAACTAACATGCTAGACATTAAAAAATAAGACTATAAACTCCACCTTATTACTTCCAGGATTATCATTATAGCATCTTTTAATTAATAATAGTGTTTGAGAAGTTCATACTCATATTCTATCCCTAAATCCTGACCATTTTTTTCCTTCCCACCTAACATATTAAATTGCTTTGTCTCACTTCTCAAGGGATGAAAATTTAGTCCTAGCTAAGCTGACTCTATTCAAACAATTATTGTGGTATATGTATTTTTAAAACTCGGGTTTCCTTTAAGAACTTAATTACACATGCATATACATGTCTCCCAAGTGTGTACATCTTTCAGATAACATATCAACATATATCCTGTTTATTTTTATACTGTCAAATTACATGAATCATCTCTTCCCATCATTTATTTTCATTATCTTTAAAAAACTAATTACCAAATAATGTGTTTTATGACTTCCTATAAGTGTGTACCTACTTCCTGTCTCTTGCACTTCACTGGAAGGATTCAGACTCAGTCATTATAGCCCAGAGCTGATAAAGGGGATCAGGCCCTTACAGATATTTACATTTGCATTTGTATGGACCCTGTGTGGCAGCGTTTTTTGGTTTGTCAGAACTCATATGTTCAAGAATAAAAATACTTACATAGGAAAAAGCTAGTGCAAGTTTATAAGGAAAAAAAGACATGTCTTAAATACTAATAGTTGAGTGAAAGTCACTCAGTTGTATCTGACTCTTTGTGACCCCATGGACTACACAGTCCATGGAATTCTCCAGGCCAGAATACTTGGAGTGGGTAGCCTTTCCCTTCTCCAGGGGATCTTCCCAATCCAGAGATCGAACCTAGGTCTCCCACACTGCAGGAAGATTCTTTACCACAAGAGAAGCCTAACAGTTGAGAGGTCTCAGGCAAACTGATCCCTTAAACTGGTTTCCATATGTGGAAAACGGGGACTCTAGATCAAACTTGTGAGGTGGATTCAGTGTTCCAGGGCAGTACCCTCCATCCTGGTTCTTTAGAAAATGGTGGTCATTATCTTTACTATTATCTACATCCAGTGGTGTGTTGTTTTTTTTTGTTCAATATGTCAAATATTCCCAGACAAAGAGACAATATAAGTATGGAGACTGGTTTAACCTATTTTACTAGAGGAGTTTCCCTGGTGGCTCAGACGGTAAAGAATCTGTCTTTACACAGTCCATGGGGTCGCAAAGAGTCAGACATGACTGAGTGACTTTCACTCAACTAGTGAAAATAGGATTGGTCACCCACTCCAGTATTCTTGCCTGGAGAATCCCATGGGCAGAGGGGCCTGGTGGGGCTACAGTCCACAGGGGTCGCAAAGAGTTGGACACGACTGAGCAACTAATACACACACATACACACACACACACTCTTTACTAGAAGCAAATATGAAGCATACAAATCATTATTATAAAAATAAACCAATAAACCCTTGGAACAAAAATATTCTTATCCTAAGAATTCTGTGAGCTGCAAAAAGGCTTAAAATACTAGTCAATGGTCCTGCTTACTACTGGCCCTGACAGACACAGCTGGCTGCCTTCCCCAAGGCTTTCTTCTCTTCCCTCCCTCTTTTCTGACGGAGCCCCAGTGTGTCTGGTTCACCTCAGAGAGTGAATTCTGACTAATGTGAACCCAAAATGGTGGCTTCGTTCCTTGCCAGTGATTAGGGTAGGAGGGCAGGTTACCCCAGGCCGACGACCCTCAAGGAGAAGGCTGTTGGAGGAGATCCTGGGAAATACTTCTTTGCTCTTTAAAAAAAAAAAAAAGACAAATGGAGGGAAAAATAGTCCCTCTTCCTCTGCTGGATTTTGCTGGGTCTACATATGAGGCAGTGGCCATTTGTGACTGAGGTGAGTCGGTCTGAAAATAAGCTGATATGCAGAAGATGGAACAGGGAAAGACAGAAAGAACTTGGGTTCTCACTGACAACTGAGTCACTTATTGCCTCCATGTTATGAGACCCTCAGGTAACTTTCATTTATATTTACCCTGTAAGAAATTAAAGCTGAGAAAAAGTCAAATGCAAGAATATGTAACAAATACACATTCCACTACCCAGAGCAGCAAAGATAGCATCACATGTCATGTAACCGCTTAGAAAACTCCACTATACACCTGTGTGAGAAAGAGTATAAAAGGCAAGTAACTTCTTAGCATTATTAGAATAACTTTGATATCATGGGTCCCTTGACAAAGTTCTCAGGGACTCCAGGAGACCCTGAACCTCATATTGAAAACTGCTGGATTAAGCTGCTGCTGCGTCGCTTCACTCGTGTCCGACTCTGTGCGACCCCATAGATGGCAGCCCACCAGGCACCCTTGTCCCTGGGGTTCTCCAGGCAAGAACACTGGAGTGGGTTAAGCTACTTTATATTAACTTAAAAAAAAGTATTTGCTACTGTAACTGATACAGAGTTTTCTCCAAAAATGATCACTTAATAAAGGGTTACCATTATAATACACCTAATTTTATCAAAGCAATCAAAACTCTACCCCCAAACCCTAAACAACCACCTTCTCAAACCCAAGTGACAATTCTTAGACAAAAGCAAAGATGATATAAACATGCAGACCTAAGTAGTTACCAAGGGGATGTGGGATGGAGCCAATGAGAAAAAAATCATCCCCACAACTACACTGAACTTTTTAATGCTACCTTATCCTAATGTTGCAATTTATCAATAAAATTCAGTAAAAATATAAGTTCTCAAAAGTTCGGATATGATAAGTGTGAGAAACTCAAAAGTTTGGATAAAGGGGGAAAAAATCACTAAAAAACATGCATGGGCTAGCAGGGTGATGGTTCAGGAAAAAAGGGAGACAAGAATTATTTCTGGACTGGATGAAAGGCAGTCTACTTTGACCTCTCAGGCACAGCGTCCTCTGATGGTTTCTCTGAGTTAGTATAGGAAAAGAACTAAAATACACAAATACCTATGTTCTTCCCTCACTTCACCCCATATGTGGCTCTGATCTAAGTTTTCCTAAAATAAGGCTGCTATTAAATGTAAGTCTCAAATTTATAATCTAATCCATTTGATATATTATGACTCAAAGTTTATAATTCAGTGCCCATTTCCTAGTATCATCACTCTAACCAGGGTCAGCTACGGAACAGCACAGCTTCTTTCCTTCCTTCCTCCCTGTCCCTCGCTCCCTTCCTCTCTCCTTTCATTTACTTTATTGGCTTTGCCTCCTGGCTTGTGGGACCTTAATCCCGACTGGGGATTGAACCCGGGCCCAGCAGTAAAAGTGCCAAGTCCTAACCACTGGGCTGCTAAGGAAGTCCCTTCAGCAATCCTTTAAAAAACCTACACACTACAGAATAAAGCAAAAACAGCACACTCAATGGAGACCCAAACTATTCTAAGATGTCCAATAACCTTCTCTACGTCGAACATCAATTAAAGTTCCTAAAAAGAGATAGGTGTTTACCTTGAGCACCAGACAGTAGTCTGTAGGAGCTTTGTACTTGCTCCGATAGTCCTGTCCGTAGTAGACGTTCACGTGGTCCAGTTGGAGAAAGCACACCAGGTCCCGAGAGGCCTGAGGAGAAGACACCCAAAGACTCGATTAACACTAACTTGTAAACGAGCAAGTATCACTGGTAACAGTGTTTAACTGAGAACCAAGCTTTACCAAGTAGAAACTACTGCTATTTTGCAGAAGACAAGACAGTGAGATTCTCTATAGATGTTTCTTCCTTAAATCTACCATGCAACAAGAAAGGCAGTCCACTTGACTTACCAGCTTGTCATTCATAATGAACACTGATTCACTGGCAAAGGGTGGTATTTTAAAGAGACTTTAAATACAGTACAGTATATTAAATACAATGCAGTATTATAATAGAGCTCTCTGGAAAGAACAAGACATACCAGGCACTTCCGTGCCTGCAGTACATGTCTCAACCACAACTCTCAAGTCAGTGTTTCCTCGCCAGCTAAGAAGGGGGGACAACATGTACCTCTCAGGATGATGGTAAAGACCTGATGAGATGACCCTGTAGACAGCTTCAACAGTGCTGGCCCCTAGTAAGCACAGAAGTGACAGCTACCACCAGGGCCCTCAACAGTAGTACATTACCTAAGAGAGGCTGAAATGCCTACAAGCCCGGAAAGCGATTCTCCCCCAAACAATAAAAAACAAAAACAACTCTGGCAGAAAGTTTTAAAAATAATAGAAGCATGGTTTCAAATTCAACAGGAGAATCGAGATGGGCCCAATGAATGAGCAGAAAGTGAACATTTTCAGGTTCCCTCTTCCTTATAATAGATCAATAAACAAGGCAATGATCACGAATGGAAACAAATCACAGCCTGGATCACATGTCAGTCTGCTCACTACAGATTAAAATCAGTCAGCATAATAAGGAAGCTTAAAGTTAGCAGAAGGGACTCACCTTTGCTTTTCCTTTAGGGACATAGTAGATACCAGATGCTCGCAAGAGGAAATAACGCTTTTTCCAGGACTTCTTGCCATCATCTTTCAACCAAAGGACTCCCTCAATTTCTGGTACGGTTACAGAACTTCCACAAAAACACTCCTAAAATAAGAAGATGATTGGGAAAGACATGCTCCTTGGATTCTCAAACCAAAGTTGTGTCTACCCCTGTGAAATGCCTGACACTGATTAAACTAAAATACCTTTGTATAAAAACCATGCTGCTAATTTTACCTCAATTAGAACTTTCCAAACATATATGGCTTTAGTTTGGAACAACTATGGCAATCTCTGTGAACTTTTCCCTAAAACTGTTTTGATGAAACTAAGCTAAAATGTTGCTGAGTTGCACATAACAGCACTTAAATGCATTTGCAAAAACATAGTTATAGTAAATTTAAGGAAAGCGTCAGAGCTAACATAAGCATTAGACTTTATTTGTCTCCAAATTAACATTTAGATTAGCCAGTAACTGTGTTAGTGGCTCAGTTGTGTATGACTCTTTGGGACCTCCATGGACTTCAGTCTACCAGGCTCCTCCATCCATGGGATTCTCCAGACAAGAATACTGGAGTGGGTAGCCATTTCCTTCCCCAGGGGATCTTTCCAACCTAGGGATCAAACCCAGGTCTCCGCATTGCAAGCAGATTCCTTACTGTCTGAGCTACAAGAGAAGCCCAAATTTATATTAGCTGCATGTTAAATATGAATATATTTTAAAAGAAGGCAACATACTAAACAAATGATTGCACTTTCACAATTTAAAAACAACCAGTGCCTATGATCTAAAACAAAGCAAGCATTTATTGTTTAAATATTTAATACTAAGTTGAAAGGAAAGTAAACAAACTAAAAAAATTTTGGATTCTAATGTCTATACTTAGATAAGAATTTAAAAAATCAATCATGTATTTAGTAAAGGGAAAGTAGAAATCCTCACTAAACTTGAACACATGAACATGAATTAATTTCTCCCCCCAAAACAGAAAAATTAAGAAACATGAAGAGAATTTTTGTTAATTGTAACTAGCCTCCCTATGAAAAGCTGAGTGCTGATCTTCATCCCCCTAATAGTCTTGTTGCTAAATAAGAATTTTTTTCAGACTTTCAAACATACTAACATCTTTGACCTTAGTTCTCTAAAATCAGCAAAAGGCAAAAATTCAATTATATTTGAATTTGTTTCATTAATCTTCAAAATAAGGAAATGTATATTTAAAAAAAATAATCATTATGATTTTTAAAATAAGTTATTTCAGACTAAAGTTTGAACTATTTGGTAAGTAACTAACTATATACAAATTCCTCTCTGGCTAAGCAGATAAAACAGCACAGTCACACCCTTCACTGACCCAGCCTTTTCCCCCCACTTGTCAGCTTCTAAAAGCTCTTAAGTCCTTTCAGTCCACTAGTATACTGCTCGGCAAAATAAGTGTTTTTATACGGTTCTTCAGTGTTCTAACATTCATAAAGCTGAACTCTCCCCATCAGGCTAGTTACAATTGTAATTATCAATACAAAGCACTGACATTCTGGGCTTCAAAAAAGGTGCTTAATATTTTAAAATTATAAGGTACAAGGAAAGGGGGCTGGGGAGGAAGAGTCATACCTCCAACAGCACTTCTTTGTTTCTATCTGCCATCTCAGCTGTTTCCTTTTTCCCCAGAAGGTAATTCTGGAAAAATGAGTAGATGAATGTTAAAGGACAAATCCACTCTACTATTCTCCTGGCACAGGTACACAGATGATTTCTTCTGGAGACATTAGCAACTCTGTGTCTATTTCTGCCTATGCAGACTGAGGGGAACATTCCTTCGAAACCTGTTCCTGGCATCTTCACAGAGGTGCTTAATACTGGCCTCCTCCTTACCATATCCATTTATTTTGAATTATTCCATAAACGGCCCTCCCCCAAATCCTGAGGAGATATTACATGCAACAGCTAGCAATATGTTTTCGTATATCTAATAAAGCTACACTGACAGGACCTTAAAGGTTTACAAATTATTAAGTACAACAAGTGGGGCAAATTTGCTTAAAATATGCTAAGCTTAACTGATTCAGACGTAGAAAATTTAATCTACGTTCTGGCTATTAAAGAAGAAACCCCAAATTCTCTGAGACTACCATGATATCATTTGCTTGACTCAACTAAAATCTGAATTCTAATTATTATCCTTAAACTTTTATTCACAATCACCCATAAAAAATTGCTGGTATTCCTAAATGTGTATTCTTCACTAAAAATATCCAGTAAAGATGTGTCATGATCATGCAGTCTGAAGGATAACTATTCAATAACTTTAACACAGCTACTGTTTTTCCTCATTACTATTCTTTATAGTGGTGGTGTTGTCTTTCACTTATTAATATTTGGGTATTAGGAAGAACATAAACATTTTGGGACAAGCAAAGATACCAAACAGATCAAGGTAACATGTAATAGAATGTGGGGCTGTTTATAATCAAGGTTACTGGGATTTTCAAAAAAATAATTCAGAAAACAAATCAAAGTGTTAAATGGATAAATATTAAAGTAGAGAAACTTAAATACATGAGTACATTTATTTGATGGATGAGGAACTCACCGAACAACTAGCAGGGTCCGAACTGGCTCTGAATTAGAACAGAAGCCTGCTAACCCCCAGGGGGGAATCCTGCTTTCCCTAGGGCTCACCACATCTGGAGCTGTGGAACTGGCAACTTCTGTGAGCCTGACACTGGGGCCCCAGCAGACTTGCCACCTCGGCAGTAGTGAATTCTCCCAAGGGGTTTTGCACCCACAAAGCTCCAAGTGGGTGGCTGTCAGTCTTTTAACTCTATTAACTTAGCAGTCAGAAAATTATATGATATGAACACTTAAGAATCCTGACCTCTGCAAGCCATAGCCTCACCTGTGGATTTTTGAAAAGTGCGTATTTTTCTATACGCTCCATAAATATAAGCTTGTTTTGGCTATCTCTTGTCCAATTAAGAAGATTTTCAACCAAGTTTTCATGATCTTCAAAGATTCTCTCTGTCCCAAAATAAAACACCAGTATTTTGTTAGTATTTGTCAGAATTGCATAAAAGACAAGAAACCTTGCAAAGTATTTCAGAGCAAAATCATAGAATCTAAACTGACACCCTTAGAGATTATCTGGTATTTCCTGTATTTTCAAATAAGGAAACGTGCCCTCATGGTGTTAAGTGACTTTAGCAAGGTCACACAGCTGCTACAAGGAAGGATCAGGACTAGAATCTAGATTGTCTGACTTCAAGATCTTCTTCAGCCTTCAGCCTTTTCACCATCCGCCCTTAAACACAATCTGTTAGTCACATTTCATAAATTCTGGTATTAAGTGCTTCCAATACTATTTATTCCTTGTCATTCAAAAAATTTCCAAGATGATTTCTTCTTTGGTCTATGAATTGTTTAATTTTAAACATAGAGATATTTTCTAATTTCCAAAGTAGGAATCAAAGATCATGTCCTATATTCTGAACATATGTACAAAGAACATATTCTAGAGATACTGATTTTTGTTTTGAAATTTCTAGAGAGCCTTATGACCTCATACTGGAATCAATTTTTGGAAACATTACACTTCTGCCTGTTAAGAATGTGTATTTTCCTGTTATTAGTGCTCTAAGTATATCTATATTCATTTTTGTCTGCTTGATTATATTGATCACTGCAAAGATTTTTAGAGGTGAAAAGTTTCTACTGTGAAGGCAGACTTGTGAATTTCTCCTGGTAGTTCTGTCAACTTTTGCTTTATGAAATATAATGCCATTATTAGATAAAATTTAGGATGATTTTGTCTTCCTGATGAAGATGTATGGTTCTCCTATCTCCAGTAATGTATTTTGCTTAAAGTCTATTTTATCTGATATTCCTTTTACTTTCAAGCTTTCTGTGTTTTAGGTAAAAGGTCTTTTGTAGATAGTGAACAACTGCATTTTGTTTCTTCATCCTTTCTAATAATCTCTGTTCTTTAAATGAATGAATTACATTTGTCATAGCTTATTTTACCATCTTATTTTGGGCTCTTAGTTTTCTTTTATTCATTCAACAAGTACTAAGTAACTACATAGTCTATTTGTATCACTGTGCCACATATGATTAAATGATAGTTATGGACCCTAAACCTACAGTCACGGAAATATTATAAAAAATAGCATCCAAAAATTTTCTGGGTATGGTGATGCCACATCTGTGAACTTGAACCTTTCTAATTCTTTAAGAATAGTTACAATAAGTATTATTAGAATATCTGCCTATACCTGTTAATAAACTTCTAACTGATGGTTTGGTTTTGGGGTTTGTGTTTGTGCGTTCTAAGAGAAAAGGGTGAATTATTAAATTTTTATTGCTCTGGAAACTGCTATAAAATACTTAATATATAACAGGCAGTAAAAGCAATGCAAATATATTTTATAAATAAAATGGCAAGTTGAAATAGATTATTGACTGAATATAGCCTAATAAAATAACTATTGTGAGGTTATATAATCACCCAATATTACAAAAAGAAACCTTTTTGAGGTTTTTAAGAGTCAAAGATGGATTTGTATGGAAATACAAAAACCCTCAAATAGCCAAAGCAATCTCGAGAAAGAAGAATGGAACTGGAGGAATCAACCTGCCTGACTTCAGACTATACTACAAAGCCACAGTCAAGGTGTGGAGAAAAGGGAACCCTCTTACACTGTTGGTGGGAATGCAAACTAAACAGCCACTATGGAGAACAGTGTGGAGATTCCTTAAAAAACTGGAAAGAGAACTGCCATACGACCCAGCCATCCCACTGCTGGGCATACACAATGAGGAAACCAGAATTGAAAGAGACACGTGTACCCTAATGTTCATCGCAGAACTGTTTATAACAGCCAGGACATGGAAGCAACCTAGATGCCCATCGGCAGATGAATGGATAAGAAAGCTGTGGTACATATACACCATGGAATATTACTCAGCCATTAAAAGAATGCATCTGAATCAGTTCTAATGAGGTGGATGAAACTGGAGCCTATAATTATACAGAGCAGAGTAAGTCAGAAAGAAAAAAACACCAACACAGTATATTAATGCATATGTACATAATTTAGAAAGATGATAACGATGACCCTATATGTGAGACAGCAAAAGAGACACAGATGTAAAGAACAGACTTCTGGATTCTGTGGGAGAAGGTGAGGGTGGGATGATTTGGGAGAATAGCATTGAAACGTATATTATCAAGTGTGAAATAGATCACCAGTCCAGGTTTGATGCATGAGGCAGGGTGCTCGGGGCTGGCGCCCTGGGATGACCCTGAGGGATGGGATGGGGAGGGAGGTGGGAGGGGGGTTCACGATGGGGATACATGTACACCCATGGCTGATGCATGTCAACGTATGGCAAAAACCACTACAATACTGTAAAGTAATTAGCCTCCAACTAAAATAAGTTAATTTTTTTAAAAAAGTCAAAGATGGTATAAAAAAAATGAGGAATTTTAAAAGTTAGAAAACACCATAACAAACTACAAAACATAGGAAACTAAGACTTAGTACATGTAGCTAAAAATAAGATGTGCTTTATGTTTCCCCTGAAAGTCAAATGGTGCTATTGATAGCAACTGAAGCCTTAGGCTTCAGTACAAATGGGAATAAATGTAATGGTTTTTAGTAATGTGTCTAACATATGCAGTTCTTAATAATATCTGAAGGGAAAAAATACTTTGTTACCTTAAAAAAAAGAACAACTTTGTTTAGGCCATAAGAAAATCTAAAATGAACTGAAAATGATACTGTACTCAAAAAAATCTCAAAATATATGGGGGAAGAATGGGGGAAAGATAATGTAAAAAAGCCAGGGCTATACTATAGGAAAAAAAATTAAAATGTCTCTAGTTGCTTTTATCAACATGAAAACAGTTGAAATTACACAGAAATTTAAAAAGTAATTACAGCAATGATATTACTAACCCATCTGTAACTCAGAGATGGTTTCCACCAGAGACCAGTCTAAACTATAACCACAGTGGGATTTGTCCATCAGGTTATCCAGCACTTGTCTCACTGTCTGCCTCTCATCCACCATCATTGTTTTAGAACTATCATCAGACATGTGGACTCTAATCACCAGCTGTTAAGAAGAAAAAGGAATATTAAATACAGACTGAAAAACAGGCATTCTGAAAATTTCTTCCAATGTTTTAATAATATTCTGAACAATGTCCTTAGCTAAATATAAGTTAAAACACAAATAATGACTTTATTATGCAAAAAGAATATTCTAAAATTAGGTATTCAATAGCTAAACAAATTTAATGTTTTAAAAATTAAAATAACATATAAGTTTATAATAAAGCTATTTTGTTTCACTCTTTTAGAATTTAGATCCAGAAAAGTTATTTCTTTTATAATGTATTTTATTCACCAAAAAATACATGTGGAAATGTATTTAGAAAGAAATACCCTGCTACAGTTTGCTGCATCTTACAGTTACATTATATAAACAAGGCAATTCTTTATAAATCCATAAAATGGATAAAAATCCCAAACCAAGAAAAAGCCCAAATATCACCTTTTTCACTTGTGCCTCTTTAATTTTCTCTAGGGCAACTCTGATCTTCTCAGCTTTCAATTTTGCTGCCTGTTCTTCCTGTGGACACAAAGCACTTCAGATAAACTAATGCTAAAATAATGAGAATTTTTTGAGAAGTCTTTTTATTCTTAAGAACGCTGTTAACACTGAATTTCAGTAAGAATATAACTTCACACACTTAATATAGAGCATATTTTAGAAATAACCATGTTCACAAAACGAGGGCAGACATATTATTGAAAAATTTTTTTAAGATGCACACTTGATGACTTCTTATATTAAGACTACATTTTCATACTCTAAGGCTGTGGTAAATTAATTTAATTTTAATTTAATCCAACAGTTTTATTTTTGACTGTCAATCCGAAACAGATAAATTTGAGGTTTCAAGATAGTGAAAACAAGCTATCTGTGGGCAATCTTTTACATATCAATATTTTGTCTTGTTGTATTGAAAACATATCATCATCATAAAAACAGAAAACACACAAAAACCCAGCATCAATTCACCTCTCTGCAACCATATAAAAACAGTCATAACAAAAATATAGGTATGTTCTCATTAATACATAAATATGAACAGAGGAGGCTGCATTAAATTCTAAGTTTTACTCTGCTTTGGAACAATCACACAATATAATCAATGTCTCATGTCACTAAATTCACTTTTTTTTAATTCACACTATTTAAAATACTAAATGTAATTTTCCAAATATTTAACTTATAATAATTTCTGCTTCATAAATTTAGATAAATAGCAATAAAATAAAACTATATTTAAATAAAATAAAACATTTGCCTATTTTCTCCTAGAATAACATATAGTACTGTAACACCTTGTACTTACTTGTACTTTCCAGCAAGAGGCCATAGTACACTGCAGCATTAATCTCCAGTTGAAAGAAACTCATGAAAGTAAACCTTTGCTTATAATAAAGAATTACTTTTTAATTTTAAGCTCTTGGTTGCTACAGAAAATATCTAAAATATCTAAGAAAATATAAAATATGACTTAATATGACTTTAAAAAAGAAAAGAGAAACCTATTTACATCAACTAGACTTTATCTGCTCTAGATTGTGATTAATAATCACAACCCATGTGTTATTCTTGATTAAAAAAATGGAAGTTTCCAGGGCAAAAAAACAAATTAAACTCAATTCATTTAATGGATTATTCCCTGTTCTCTTAAATTCTGTTGGCTTTCTTATTTTTTGATCTGCTTCTCTTCTCATTTCATACTCTAGGCTGTCTCCCTCATTTCAAGCTTAGTATTTACCACTCTGCAGAACAGAGAAGAAAACAGTTAGGGAAGACAGTGGGCTTGTTTGCCAGAAATCTGATCCATTTCAATGAAAGCACTCAGTGAATTAACATAATAACCAAGGTCAGGAAATACTATCTGCAAACCCAATTAGACAGAGAACAAAGAAGTGCATTTTAACGACGGAGAGGAGTAAGACTGGATTCTTAAGATTCTTAGGTATATATACTCCTTTGATTAAAGATTAAATCATCCTATCTCCCCCTTTATGCAAATAAACTACAGAATTATAAAATATGTTGACTGTATATTTCTTCTTTAAAGAAGGTTATAAAATGAGAAAACTAGACTACTGTCATTAAAATTCTCTGTTTCTAGAATTCAGTGTCTTGGAGAAACAAAATCATTATTAAATTACCAAATTTTGTGTGTTTCTGGTAAGTAGAGCACTACTCTATAAAGGAATTTTAAGTACTAGCATTTCCCAGTGGTTTTTATGAAATCATTTATTTGACCATATTTTGAAAAAGAGTGAAGCAGAAGTTTTGAGTGTTTTCTCAAGGGAATAATGATTGTATGTTTCTTCATGGTTCATTTGCCACATCCTTATATCGGTACAAATAGATGCTACAAAGAAATTTTCCAAGGCATAATTTCAACTTTCACTTCATATTTCTGAAAAGCAAATTTAAATCTCAAAGTCTGATGAAGAAAAACTGATAGAATCAATGTTCTGTGTATCTGGAATATAAACATGAACTTCTACAAGGCCAAACTCTTTTATAACTAGTCTGCAAAATTAAAAAAAAAAAGATGTCTTCAAAGTTAAAAAATATTTTTAAGAAAAGGAATATCAAGAGAATGACAAGCCATAGACTAGGAGAAAATATTAATAAAATATTTATCAGGCATATCTAATAAAAGGACTATCATCCAAAACATAAAAAAACTCTTAAAACTCAATAAGAAAATGAACAACTCAATTTAAAAACTGGGCAAAAAACCTGAACAGAAGGTTTTCACCAAAACAAGATTTGATGAAATTTTTTTAAACCAAAGATTACACAGATGGCAAATAGCCTGTGAAAAGCTGCTCATATATATCATTAGAGAATTGCAAATTGAAACAATGATATACCACTACGCATATATCATCTTAGACTGCCAAAACACTGGAAACATCAAACGCTGGTCAGGTTGTGGAACAACAGGAACTTTTCACTGAGGAATGCAAAATCGTACAGCTACTTTAGAAGACAGTTTGGTGGTTTCTGAAGAAACTAAACATGCCTTTACAACACTATCCAGAAATCAAGTTCCTTAGTATCTACCAAGTGAGCTGAAAGTTTACCTCCACCCAAAAACCTACACACTGATGCTTATAGCAGCTTTCTTTATAATGCCAAAACTTGGTAGCAACCAAGATATCCTTCAGTTGGCAAATGGATAAACTATGCAACATCCAGACCATGGAATATTATTCAATGCTAAAAAAAAAAAAAAAGAACGCAGGGGACCTGGATTCAATCCCTGGGTAGGGAAGAACCCCTGAAGAAGGGAATGGCAACCCATTCCCGTATTCTTGCCTGGAGAATTCCATGGGCTGAGGAGCCTGGCTGGCTACAGTCCACAGGGTCGCAAAGAGTCAGACACGACTGAGCGACTAACTCACAAAAGCCAAAAAAATATAAATGAAAAGAAAGAGCTATCAAGCCATAAATCACATGGAGGAAACTTTAATGCATATTACTAACTGAGAGAAGCCAATCTGAAAAAGCTACATACTATGTGATTCCAACTATACAACATCTTGAAAAAGTAAAACTATGGAGACAGTAAAAAGAATAACGGTTGTCAGAGGTTGGGGGCGGGAGGTGGCGGGGGACGTGAACAAGTGGAGTACAGAGTATTTCTGTGGGAATGAAACTACTCTGTATGATACTATAATGATAGCTACATGTCATTATACATTTGTCCAAACCCACAGAATACACACCAAGAGTGAACCCTAATGTAAACCAGGGACTCTGGGTGATAATAATGTTACCTATACTTGACCATCAATTGTAGCAAACGTAGCACTCTGGTGAGGGATGTTGATAATGGGGATGCTCTGCACGTGTGAGGGCAAGCGGTATATGGGAAATCACTATACCTTTTTAATTTTATTGTGAACCTGAAACTGCTCTTAAAAAAGTCTTTTCAAAAAGGGAATATAAAAATCTTAATGACATTCTGATACTGGTTATAAATACCAAAGCAGTATTTTCATACTTCCATTTTAGTATACTATGATTTAGCAAATAGAATAGAATACAATCAATGCTATCTTTTGAAGCACTGACATAAAAAGTCATTCAATTATAAGATTAGTTTCAACTCCCAGATCAGTTTCTGCTCCAAAGGCTAAAAAGCTAACACACAGGAAGAAAAGATTATAGAAACAAGAGAAACAACCAATTAACATACACTAAACCAATTGGATTCCCTAGCTGTCTTTTATGTAGAACAGCCAGGTGAGGCTATTTTAACATCCAAATTCAGCTATTCTTCCATTTGCCCAAAATACTAATCTTAATAACTATATAAACTGGTCTGTGTTACAGCTGCCTCAAATTCGAATTTAAAGAGCTGTGAATCTGCCTGCCTATGCAGATGTGGGAGCCGCCGGTTCAATCACTGGGGTCAGGAAGCTCTCCTGGAGTAGGAAATGGTAACCCACTCCAGTAATCTTGCCTGGGAAATCACATGGACAGAGGGGCCTGATGGGCTACAGTCCATGGGGTCAGAGAGAGGCAGACGCAGCTGAGTACGCGGTGGTGGTTGGTGGTTTAGTCGCTAAGTCGTGTCCGACTCTTGAGACCCCATGGACTGTAGCCTGTCAGGCTCCTCTGTCCATGGGATTCTCCAGGCAAGAATACTGGAGTGGGTTGCCATTTCCTTCTCCAGGGGATCTTCCCGATCCAGGAATCGAACCCAGGTCTCCTGCACTGCAGGCAGATGATTTACCAACTGAGGTATAAGGGAACATGCTTAATTTCAGTGTAGGCAAATTTTAGTTTATTCCTCCAGTTCATAGGCTAGGATAATTATCTCTGCAAGAAGCCTCCTGCTTTTAGAATCTGAATGTCACTGGAGCAAAATGAAATAAAAATATTTGGTCAAATTGCAAGATTCACAGTACTTTATACTTCCCATGGACAATAAGCTCTTCCTCAGAAAGTTTGGTTTTTAATCTACTATATTTAATCTAGAATCATAACTTTTAACTGTAACAACCAAGAAAAGGAAGAAACTGTTAAGATTAGAGTGCCATGTGATACAGCAAAGATCAATAAATCTTTGCTGATGTGTTATTTATAGATTATATACTTAGAAGACATCTAATAGTTTCTTTAAGCAATACAAAGCTGTGTTCAGTGTCTGCAGGCCAAGTTTAATACAAAGAAAAAAGCTTTGTTCATCTCATATTCTCTGCTATTTGTTAAAGCTGACAAAATCAGGACTTAAGTTTTCTGCCCCTTATCTTTGAACTATCCCTTTGGTCACACTGTCTCACAACCATCCTAAACATAAGTAAAAGATATCTCACACATATAACAAGTTAACTTTCTCTCTTACCCCTTTGCTTAAAAGGGCAAGAGACAAGCTATTTTCCGCCTGAAAAACTCCTGTGTGGCTATCAATAACCATCAAATGCCAAGCCTTCTCAAATTTACATAAAGGACAAAAACTCAGTGAAGATCTTATGATTAAATGAAAGCCAATGCTGTGGTTACAAAATGTTACAGCATTTTCTTAGAGTAAAAATTAGAATACTCACAGAAAGTTAAAGTTGAAAAGAACTGGCTATGAATTCCTTTAACTATGAAATGATTAAGGTTTTTTAGGTTCAGAACAAATGGGATTGAAATTAAGGGGCTGAAAATAAGTTAGTTGTTTTTTTTTTTTTTTGAGATCAGGTTTATTTCACAGATTACAACAGTAATAAAGTTACATAACTTAAAATGATTCAAAGAAAACTTGGAGTGATGAACAATTTATTGCCCATGAAATGTTCTATCAAACTGCTTAGAACCAAAATCATCATAGTAACCACTAGTTTACTTCCCCCTGCAGAAATACATTCTCAACTAAGAAGAGAACTAGTATTAATCAAACACCTACTTGCCACATATTACAAGGCATGTGCCTCATTTAATTATCAATAATGCAGGACTAACATTATTATTATGTCCATTGTACTGATTTAGGCCCAGAAAGAATTGTCTTTCAAAGATCATACAGGCTGTTATGAAGTGAACAACTACCTGTTCTTCCCATGATGTCACATCCCTTCTGTCTGTAAAGATTTTAGCATAAACTTTGGGGGGATAATAGTAAATAAAAACTGCTTATCAAAGATAAAACACTTTCAGTAATATACAAGCAGTTTTATAACTTACAGCAGTCCTTGAAACCTTGATGGTCACTAGAGGACCATTCTTTTAGATGATGGATGTTTGTCCAGACTATGCAGGCCTGGGCTTGAATGCAGAGAATACAGAGTTCCTAACCTCACGGAGTTTACATTTATCATGAGACGAGAGAGAGAGATAAGGGATAAGTCAGTCAGTGGTTAAGTTCTATGAAAAATAAATAAATAAAGCAGGCTAAGGGAAGAAAGAGGGACAAAGATGTGCTACTGTATCAGGAGGTCAGGGAAAGTCTGCTGAATGGCACCCAGAGACTTATGGGCACCAGGTCGGCAACAGGTCCTCTGCCTACTGCTCGCATTTATAAAACATCCTGTGCCGGCAGTAACGCCACTCCTAGAAGAAACAGGTTGGCACTGCTTTTGCAGAGGCCCCCTGCTCAGAAGTGTATGTTGTTTAGTCACTCAGTCGTGTCTGACACTTTTGCAACTCCATGGACTGTAGCCGGCCAGGGTCCTCTGTCCTTGGGATTTCCCAGGTAAGGATACTGGAGTGTGTCTCCTTCAGGGGACCTTTCCAAAGCAGGGATAGAACCCACGTCTCCTGCATTACAGGAGGATTCTTTACTACTGAGCCACCGGGGAAGCCCCTCAGAACTGTATACGGGACAGTTATTTCATTAGCAGTAGTAGAATGACAATTGAATTGATGATGGAAACAAACAAGCAATGAGCATTCCTTCTGCGTTCCAGGCCCCAAGCAGTGTTGCTGTGTTCATTCTACTGTGTTCAACCATCAAGTGTTATAAAGTCCTGCTCTGGAAAAGTGCAGATCAGAGGTGAGTCAGTAACGGGGACACCATGCTTTGTGGGGAATCAAGTGGTATGAAAGAAGTATAAGCTCAGCTTAGCTTCAAAGCAGCCACGTGCCGTGGTAGAGGGCACCGACAAAGAGAGGCCCTGTGGCTCTGGTTATCTAGGAACTTCTGCCACCTCATTCTTGACTCCATTCCCCACTCCACCCTGAATGTGCAGGTTCTACGCTACCGAGCCACTTCCAAATGACAAATGCGTAACTGTTAAGCAGGGCAGGATACAGAGGCAGCTAGAGCCAGATGCTGGCTACACAGAGCAGTAACACCGCCACTCCAACACTCAGGCTGGGGCACAGAGGGCTCTACTGTGGATGCAGTAGGTGGCAACAGCTCTCAGGCAGGAGGAGGTGAGAAGAGACTTCGTTTATCCCAAACTTGCAAACAACTAATCTCCATTTGTTGGATGGATGAAGTTACTCTCTTCAATAGTTCCTCACACCATTTAGGAAAAAAACAACACACACACCCCCAACATGCCTTGAATTAATGATTCCTGTCTACCTCTCCAAACACAAATCAAGACACTTCATTCAACTACTGTGGCTCCGGCAACACAGTCTTTCTTCAGCTCCTCAAACACAACAGGCTCTTTTCCCATGGACCTCTCCACTTGGAACATTTCCCTTCACCCTCAAGCTGGCTGCTTTTCATCCTTCAAGCTTTAAATTAAATGTCACCCCCTTAGAAGGGCCTTTGCTGACCTTACGACCTAAAGGAAATGTAGCTCTAATCCTCCCCCCTTGTATTCTCTATTACTCACTTGTTTCCTTCATAGTACTTAACATGATTTAGAATTTGTTTACATGCTGTGTGTAAATGTTCTTTTTAATCTATATTCCTAAAGACTGAGGGCAGGGAAAATGTCCACTTTATATAGTATTATATCCCAGTACCTAACATAGTACAAGACTCAACAAATATATGTTGAAAAACAGACAATGGAAATGGTGAAATGTTACACTTCATCTGAGAGCAGTGTACAAAATGGACTGGAGGTGTGACAGGCAAAAATAGACAAGAATAGTGGCTCTACTAAAAAATATGAGGCTGTTTTAGGGTAATGGCAATGGGAATAAAATGGATGGATGAATTCAGTCAATCCTGCAGATTCTGACAAGCTTATTAGAGCTTTGAGACAGTAAGTAAGAAGAAAAGCATGAGATGGCTTGAACCTGGGCAACTAGGAGAGTGGAAGCATCCTGGACAGAAATAGAGCTGTCAAAAAACGACAACAGATATAAACTATGAGGCCTCAGGGACAGTGTGGGTAAGGAAGCTGAAGACAAAGAATCGGAGGTGCTGGGCATCCTCCAGGAAATGTGTGACAGTGACCTCTCAGGGAGAGAAGTCTGATCTAAAGAGATCCTAACTGAGGCTCTGAGACTGAATTCCAGGGAGAGAGTGAACTTTGCTATGGTTATAAAGTACACGGCTATCATGTGCTTACATTTCTAAACTTACTTCATCTTTAAGCTGTTTATACCCTATTCCTAGATCTCTTTCCAGGAGAGAAACTCAAGCAAAAGAAAGTTCTTATTGCTGATTCTTTGGTCTTCTTGTTAAGCGGACACTCAGGGAGATTTTTAATTTTAGCTTTACCATCTTCCTTTGCAAGTTTATAAAGTTAATTTTTTTTAAAGAAAATCTCAGATACAATAATACAAATTTAGTGAAATTAGCCATAATTTGTATATTCTTCTGAAACTAGCTATAACTAAGTTAGACATGCTTGAATTTAACATTTAAGTAACATAATAAAAACATGATTTTTAAAGAGGCAGAAAGCTAGTTTCAACCCCCTATCCTGTGCTTCCTGAGTTAATGATGATAATGGTTAAATGATTTTAAATTGTAAAATACCAGCCCGATGAAAATCCAGCTAGACTAATTCAAACCACTCTGAGGACAGAGAATTGAGAAATTCAAATTGTAGCCTTCTCTTCTAATTTGATTAAACTAATGTAAAGATTATGTTTATAAAAAAATAATTAAATGAGGCATTGATAATATAAACAAAAATTAGAAAACAAAGTTTGCTAAAGAAACTCACAGCATGCATGACCATTAGTAGTAAAAGCTAAAAATCAAGCAATGATTTAAAATGAAATACAATGTTAAACTAGAAAAAGTGCAACATACTTAGAAAGACTGTCAGGTATTCATGGAAGTTAAAAACTAGTGAAAAACTACTGCAAATATTTTCTACTCTCAATATTTTTTGATAGTCATTAAGGTCAATAAATAATTACCTTCAATAAGAGAAAAAAATAACCTCTATTAAGAACAAGGGTGCAGAAACAAGAAAGCACAACCTCAGCAATCTGAGAGCACAATCAAAAACAGAAATTACATTCTACCTACAAGGCAGTAAATATTGACATGCAGGTGGAAGGAGTTTCACCTTGGTCAGCAAATGAGAAGGCTTCCCTGCAATGTTTCTCAGAAGAAGGGAGGTTTCCCTGTCCAGATAGGAGTGCTTGTGCAGGAAGAGAGAGAAAAACAGAACAAAAAAAGGTAACAGAAGTCAGTGGAGGTTTTATGAGTTTAAAATATAAAGCAGACAAAGCAAGAATGATTCTCTACCATTAATTTCACGTTTCACCTAAACTCAGTGAAATGTATCTAAATTTAAAAACAGGAAAAAAAAAAAAAAAAAGAAGGGGAGGGAGAGACCCACCCATGCCAAGAGTCACGCTCTAGCCCGCTCCTGCTGGTCCCCCACTCTGGGAAAAGGGATCACACCCTGCAAAGATCATGGAGGAGCCTGTCTGCCAGGGCTGTGCTTTCGAGGGCTGCTCATGCAGCACAAGTAAGTAGGTATCAAAGCCCAATGACTAACCACATTTCTCCCTCTTGTTAAAGCCTATACAAGACCTACATAGCTTTAAATAGTGTAGTCTTAGAGAGGAAGGAAAAAAAAAACAAAAAACCTCCATTTTAAAACTTCTGCAATTATTTCCAATCAATGATAGCTACACCAAGAGGAAAAATGTTCATAAATATTTCGCCTAATGGTATCATGTTTTCAGTAAAATTTTATTAATTCACTTATTATATACTAATAGTACTGCACTGCCCAAGTAAAGGACTTGTATATCAAAGGAATGACATAAACAAAATATTATGAAGTGTTGCCCCTTAAATTGGTTAAATTAACTTATATATTTTCATAAAAATGATTTGTGAATAACACAGTCCGTAAGTGTCCTTTTCTCCCTTAAAATCGTTTCAGTATTGCAATCATATTTATTAAATTCATATAGTATAATTTGCAGCTTTTTTGATATATGTGTAATTTAGACTTGTTTATCCCTAAATAATTCTAAGTATTTTTTAATGTTATGTGGTTATTAACCATCATTTAAAACAATACATGGCACAGCTGTGTGGAATTATAGAAAATATTTCACAATATTTATAAATCCAAGTATATATCAAGTTATTATCAAGTTATTCTTGAGAAACAAATTTTTGGAGAGAAAAATAAGTACTAAAGCAGCACCTACTATCATAAAGCTTACTGTCACAGATAATACAATACGATACTTCAAAATTAAAATACTATTGCAAAAAAAAAAATTAACTTCTGCTTGTACCTATGCTATAGTTGGTTTGAGGTACTATATGCTGTTGCCTGCGTTTGTTTTTAGCTTTTAGTTCAAGATGAGCCGCACAAGCATATCTGCCCTTTCACCCACACCTTGGTGGTAAAAAAACAGCCAGAACCAAAACAAAACAAAAACCCTAAGGTTTAAAACAGAAATTGAATATATTCATCAATATCAGCACTAACAAGGTCAAACAAGCACAAAGAAAGTCATCTCTAAGCCTCAATTACCTAGATGGTATAATCTCCTGAAGGTAAATATTGGTTGACTTGTCTATTAAAAAAACAGTAGATAAGCAAAATTTCTGCAAACTGAATTTGAGGTTAGCAATTAGCTAAGACCAGGAAGAATACTGAGAACAACTAAAAAGACCAACTGTAACTTTCATTGCTCTTATTCCTATTCATTTTTTGTTATTCCTATATAGTGACAAAAACATATTCTTACACGATTATGTAAAATATACAGAAAATAATTTCTTGAAAGCCTAGTCTTATTTATCTTACTCACAAAAATTACTTTCTCAGAGATGTCCAAAATGAGTCAAATATCTCTATTCAGATAATTATTTTTCAAATTAAAAAAAAATTTGCTTGAGGCCATCAAAACCAATTATTCTTTGGTAAATACAACTCTGTGTGTGTTGCTCAGTCGTGTCTGACTCTTTGCAAGCCCATGGACTGTAGCCTGTCAGGCTCCTCTGTCCATGGGATTTCCCAGGCAAGCATACTGAAGTGGGTTGCCATTTCCTTCTCCAGGGGATCTTCCCCACCCAGGGATCGAACCCTGGTCTCCTGCATTGCAGGCAGATGCTTTACTGTCTGAGCCACCAGGGGAGCCCAAAATAAATAAAACTCTAGACATTAAATTCAAGTTTACACTTTAAAAAAATCCTACAAAATTTACTCCATCTTCAAACTCCAATCACCTCAAGACTTCAAATTACTAAAAAAAAAAAAACACAAAAAACTGAATCTGATCAGATTTTATCTAACTGTATTTGTTTAGAGACCCTGAAGTAGAAGTTACTGATTTTAAAATATTGAAGGTTTAAATAATATTTATTGTGCATAATAATATTGTGCAAAAATAATATTCATCAAAAACAAGGTTTAAATACTGAACTTTAAGATAAAAAGGAGATAATCATGATTGGTGACCCCCAAGAATGACACATCTAAAAAATGAGACCACAAACAGTAGCTGAACAAGATTATGAGTCTCATGTACTACTTAGCAGGGCTCCATGTTCCCTGTAACTACAGGGATTGCAGCTGAAAAAACAAACACCTAGAAACCAGAAGCAGCAAATGCCTTCTGTCAATAAGAGCCTTCCTTTATCTATCTTCCCCTCCTGGTGCCAGTCACACATGGCTCCAGAACTCCTCAGAGCGGAGGTGGGGGCGGAGGGAGAACCAGTTACTGGAGAAGGATGCGAGAGGGATGAGGAGAGTGGTGTTCAGCTGGAGGACTGAGAGAAGGGAAAGACAGTGCTTTGGGCACATCATTAAATTGGTCTCTGTCTTGGTACATGCTGCTGGTAACAAAAATGCACATGGCTGCATGTAGGGCCTTCTTATATTCTCTTTCATTCACCACTAATGCAAAGTCAGCAGCCTATTTTAATTCATTAAAAATAGCCCATTTTCTTTATTAGTCCATTTTCTTCCTGTCTTTTACTCTCTCCTTTTTTCATTTACTCAATTACTTATTCAATGTTGAGACTGGAACCATGGCAGACACAGGAGATGCAGAGGTACCCAAGACAGGCATTACCTGGTCTCACAGTTTGGAATCTAACAGGGAGATAACTGACAACTACAAAGCAGTGTGTGAGTGGTAGTAAGAGGCAGAGACAGTGTCTAAACCCAAATCAGAGGTTCAGCAAAGTATTTCTGAGAAGGCCTAAAGTCCTGCAGGATGAGGAGGCGGCAGCTCTGAGTCAGGTGGAGGGCAAGGACAGAGCGAAGGGAGGTGTCAGTGGTTCTCAGTGCTGGTGGTGCTTCCCTCTGGGAGGCATTTCAGGGAGAGCTGGGAATATTCTGGGCTGTCACAACGAGGAGGAAGGGGCATAGCTGGTATTTATGAGGAGGGAAATCATAAATGTTAGATGCCCTGCAAGCATGGAGCAATGTTACAAAATTAACAACCAAAGTCCTATGTCACACATGAATTTTTAATGTCCTTATATGGAAAATCATATAGCTGGAAATTCTTGTTTATAACAATCTGAGTTTAGAACTCAATAACTCCATTTTACATATAAGCACAAAGTATTTCTGTGTAATTTTGATATTCAATGACTGTTCGAGGAATGCTATTTACTTACCACATATAAGAAATTGAGGGAAGCCTGCACTTAATTCTGTTGAACATTTACCAAGAATTACTCATTACATTGGGAAATCACTTCACCAATGGAAAATCAGCTTGAAGTATAAAAAAAATTTGCCAATACCAAAACTGGTAGCATCAGTGTATATTCTGTCACATGCAAGTAAATGATAAGAGTTTTGAAACTGCTTGTAACAGAATTAAGAACCAAATACTAATAATGAAAGAAATGAAAGGCAGGAATTTCACTGAGTTTCATTAACCCAGACTGTGTTAAAATATTTCAATTGCTTGTCTTTCAGAGTTATTTAAAATATAGCACAGTGAGAAATTTATAATGTAAAAAGTCAAATGTAAAAATCATTTTATTACTACCTAACCTCACACTACAAGGCAGAGAATAATTTTGTCACTACAGTTACAAATAAGAGTCATTTTATTTGCAAGAATTTTGCATTTCTTCATTTTCTTTTCTTTGGTAATATATAAATTGTATCAGCACATTATTCCTACTTCATTTAAGGTTATTTCCCTTTTATTAGTTACTATATAGAGGTGTGTTTTGTCTGTCACTATGTGTCATGTGTGAAGTCACTCAGTCGGGTGCGACTCTCTGCGACCCCATGGACCGTAGCCCACCAGGCTCCTCCGTCCATGGGATTTTCCAGGCAAGAGTACTGCAGTGGGTTGCCATTGCCTTCTCCAGAGGATCTTCGCCACCCAGGGATCGAACCCGGGTCTTCCACATTGTAGGCAAATGCTTTTACAGTCTGAGACACCAGGGAAGTCATAGTATGTTTTAATTCTGGGTCCACTCATATTTCTTTCTTTTTCCTGTAAAAATGACTTCTGATCTTCTCCCTTTTCTTAAATCCAAAGTTTTTAATTATAAGTAGGTGTAGAATTTGACTATTTTTCATTGTGTCTTTTAATAGTTTTTAAATGGCCAACCACTTAAAAACTAAAATATATACATTAAAATATCATAAATTACTTTTCGTTATTTCTCCCTCATACTAGGTGATAGGGCATTAAAATCACTATAAAAGGGGGGGGTGTAGGTAAGTTATACTATTTATGAATTTCATTTGGGATAGTAAAGATAATGTTATAAATTATTTGTTACAAGATACAGGTATTGGGGCTGAAAGAACTGAGCACTGCTGCCTGAGTGGAAGAGATGACAACACAGATATGACTAAGTGTGGCTGGTACTTAGGAGTTTAGGGGACAGGCCAGAGGTAAGGTTGGAGAAAGTTTGTCACTAAGCAGGATATAACCCAGTAGTGACTTGTGAAATCAATTCACTGGATTACTACCAGTATCTTTAAAGGACAGGAAGGGAGAGAGGAAGAGGAGGAGGGGAGAAGGAAAGGTCAGAGGGAATCTTATTCAACTGGGGGGGGGGATGGGAATTTTTTTCTTCTCAATGCTTCACAGGTGACCCTGAAACAGCACTGTCTAATGGAAAAACAATGCAAGCTACAAATATAACATTTTCTAGTAACCACATTTTTTTAAAAAGTAAAAAGAAACTGGTGAAATAAACTAATATTAGCATCTTTTATTTTTTGTACTAAGTCTTTGAAGTCCAGCATGTATTTTTATCTTTATAGTGCATCTCCATTTGGAGTGTTCAATAGCCTCATCTGGCTACTGGTCACCGCGTGGAATAGCACAGCTCTAAAACACCCAGGTTCCTTAATCAATGACCAAAGGAAACATTTTTAAAGAAATTAGGTTTCAGTTAAGCATTGGTACAGAAGTCATATGCTTGATATCCCCATTCTGAAGAAGAGTTAAATTTAGTAATATCTTGAGAAATTTACAGAAGCCCTTAGCTTAAGAACAAAAAAGAAAGTATGTGGTTCAGGTTCCAATACAAAATTTCTCTATACCAGATACACTACCACAACACAATCTTACCATGAGTATTAATATTCCATGGTACTGTATCATATGGTTGTTCTTGTTTCTGCTCACGTATTTTTAAAGCCTGGTTTAATTTTTATTCAAAAAATTGATATATATGACAAGGTTTAACCATCAGGAGTTCTAAAGAATGCATTCCTCTTCACTGATACTTCAGTAGTCCCAATGGACACGATTACAGAACTTACAGGTGTCAGTTCAGCCTGTTCTTCTGTGAAGTCAATATGACGCTTGGCCTGCTTGCTGGGACATCTCAGAGAAATAGCATGCTGTGAAAATGCAGGAAGGAAGAAAATGACAGATAAAGGAGGTGGAATAGGGCAGTTCTCATTACCATGCAGGAAAAGAAAAGATCACTGAAATGGACTGTTGAAACAAAACAGTAATGGAAAGTTGCATGCACCTCATTGTACTGTGCAGAAACAGAAAAGATAAGAACCTGATGATCCTAACCCTTTATAATTTAAAGATAACCTCACTCTTCTTCTGGACAGTAGAGCACTGTGGCAGAACTGCCCAGAAATACCTTGTCCAGTACCAATTCATACTTCCGAACTTCAAATGGGCCTTAACTGCTGTTTGGCAGTACTCACTATCTTCTCTCCTCTCTGTCTCATCATTCCTCTAAGCTTGTTCTAAGTAGTTTCCCAAGTTCTTCAAGTTCCTGGTTTCACTCTTCCACCTCTTCACATGCCCTCACTCCCCTCCGTTCCTAAGGAAACCACACCTATCTATCATGACAATCTTCATCTCTAAAAGGTATCCTGCAGCTATGTCCATATCCTCATCCTTCTCTCCAGTTCCATGAGTTAACACCTGCTTCTCCCCTCCAAAGCTAACCACGCCCTAGATCTCACTCATTCCCCCTCTAACATCCCAGCCACTGACACTCAACTGGTCCAGCTTACTGGGGATGGGAAGGACAGAAAAATATTCTTCTGGGTACCCTCCACTTGTTAAACTATTATCTTCTACTTTTCACTGCCAAGTACCCTGAATTCAGCTACCGTGTACCTCTTGCACTTATAATTCCCTGCAATCTAGTATCCACCTTTCTTCTCCAGTCTTCACCCTCTGAGTTCTAACACATCCTGTAATTCATTCTCAAAGTCATCAATGACCTTTTCACCAACGCGTCTGTCCTTCCTCTCACAGTACTTGATTCACTGTACTAAAATTGCGTTGGTTGTCTGTTCTGACATCCCTCTCCTCACACAGTAAGTTATAATCTCATAAAGACACTGTGTATTATGTCCAGTTTTACCCCTTACAGCCCAACACAGTGTCCAGGTACTCCAGCATTTACGGAATGTATGAATAGCTATTTCTTCTTGGCTCTCATGCCACAGGCTTGGCCAGACCAAGACTGATTTTTCTTTCCTCTCTCTACATTTTCTCACTCAACATATTCTATAACACTGTGTCAGTCACCACATCAATGGGAGGCCTATCAAATCTATACTGCCAATATCCTCATTCTTAGGAAATGAGTACTTAAGTATTAACAGCCAAAAGGGCATGAAAAATGCAACCAACTCTGAACTGGTTCAGGGGAAAAATATATATATATAAAATGATAAAATAAATGTGGCAAAATGTTAAATTAGTGAACATGAGTAAGAGTTTCATGAGTTCTTTGTACTATTTTTTCAAATTTTTCTAAATTTGACATTATCTCAAAATAAAAAGTTAAAAAATAAATCTATTCTTACTAGGCTCAGTCTCACACACGCTCCCATTATATTTCCAAATGCTTACTGGCTAGTTAAAAAAAATCATAATCCAAGGCATTCAACAAGAGATGGCTGCGTGCCATGTTAAACAGTATGATGGAACATTATTAGTTATTGTATTGAAATTCAACACAACCTTACCAAAAATGAATATACACATGGGCAGTATCAAAGACAATGTGGACCAATTTTTAAATCTTTACTGAATTTGTTACAATATTGCTTGTTTTATGTTTGCTTTTTTTTTTTTTTTGCTATGAGGCATATCTTAGCTGCCTGACCAGGGATCGAACTTGTAACCCTTGCATTGGAAGGTGAAATCTTAACCACTAAACCACCAGGGAAGTCCCCAATTTTTACCTCTTCCTTATCACTACTTTCATAAACCTAAAATCTGTGTTTAAAACACATAAGTGAATGTGAAGGTCAACTCACATAAAGTTTGCTCTATACCTTCTCAGTTTCAGAAAGTTTCATTTGTTACAAAGCTATCATGTTCTCCATCAATCTCTCAAAAACTTCACAAATCTCTGCAAAGTAAGTTATGAATCACTACTTTCTTGAACTGAACCTATAATGTGTACCATTTATGAGCCAGAATCTTGTTTGGGAGGATGTATAGAAAAGCAGTGATCTGAAATATAAGCCATAATCAAGAAATGAATGACCTTCTACCAGAGTCATGGTTACAAAATACATTTTCTTTTGGTAGCTAACACTTTAGATAACAACTGGAAGAAAGTGGAGGTCTGTGAACACATTAATGTTTCAATAGAACAGATTTACATCCATTTTGTACTGAGGTTATGTGCTCTTCACAAATATTAAAAATAAACATAGCATGACGGTTAAGAATCCAGACCCTTATGGGGCGGCCAGAGCGCCTGGGTTCAAGCCCCAGCTCAGTCATTTCCTGGCAGTTTGACTCTGCGCTTATTATTTAACCTGTTTCCTCATGTGTAAAATGGTGTAATGACAGCACTTATCTCCAAATGTTACTATAAAAATTAAAGGAATAATAATAACATTATTATTATTAGAACAATGGGAAACCACCAGCCATCACTTGAATTTTATTTAAACCTCAATTCATTTAGATTATAGCTAGCTTATAGTTGTGAAATTTTAACAATATATTCAGGATTATACTAAAACACCACCAGATGGGGATGTTACTACATAAATCTTTTTGCCTTTTTTATACTGCCTGTGTAGTTCTGTCTCTAGGCTTGGATCTGAGAAGCCCTGGCTGGTCTAGATTCTCCTTCAATTTTATGATGAAATAGCAAGGTAATGCTATAAGAGCTCTACAACCAGACTGCCTGGGTTCAAATCCTCAGGAAAGTTACCTAGTCACTTTCTGCTTTAGTTCCTTTCATTGTAAAATAGTGGTGATGGTACCTATTCTCAAGGCTCTGTACAAATTCAGTGTTAAGACATGTAAAGCACCATGCCCAGCACAGAATAAACAATAACACAGTAGCTGATATTAATTTCTATTTCTTCTGCTCTTCTCTTTGTTCCTCTCCTAGATATTTAACCAACTGTTATATACCCAGTATATGGTTCTTTACCAGCTCTCCCAACACAAAACAAAACAGACTTCAAACCAAATAAAAATGCTTTTTAGCTTTCAGGTTTCCAAGACATCCACAAAACAGGGATCAGGGCATATATGCCAGTGTTGACTGGGTGGTGTGTTTGTACCTCTATCCCTTCTATTAACTTCCTAGGCCAGTGAAATCTAGAATTAAAATACCAAGTTGGTACATGTGGATAAATTTCAGTGAGACGCAGCAACACAGCCGTTAGAATTTTAGGAGAAATGCAGTTGTAATAACTAGTAACTCCAATCTTTCAGATATGCAGGCCTCTTAAAATTTCAGAAAGCCCTGAGCTCCCATCTAGCTATTATCTCAGAGCAAAAAGTTGCTTTCTGAGAATAACTTGGGACCTCAATGCCAATGCCACCTGATATTACAATAAACACAACTGCTGTTTTCTTTCCAATATCTCAAAATTTCTGCACATATTTATTCCTGAAGGAGTTCTGGAAAGTGAAAGAAGTAAAGGAATTACACTGATGCTATCATATGCCAAGGTGCGTCTCACAAGTTATTAACATACTGGTGTATCCATAGAGATTTCATTAAAAAAAAAAAAAAAACACCAAAAAAAAACCCCTGTACACATGAGGGGGAAAAAAAAAACAAAACACAACATTGAAAAGCTTTAGTAGCTCAGATATTTAGGAATTTTTCCTATCAAAATATTTATAATACATCATCAAATATTCTTAAAGATTCACAAAACTTTTTGAATCTACCATGAGCTTCAGTAAATGTTTCTAAAAGCATTTTCATTTTAAAAATATATGTTTGTAAAAAAAATATATATATATATATGTTTGTGTATAAGATTCCAAATTCAGAGGAACTGTTAAGTTTAAATCCCACCAGAAAATAAATATACAGGTATATTGTAGCACTAACCTTTTATCAGTAAACCCTACTTTATATAAAATTTATAACACGCAATTACTATGTAAATTTGCAAACTGCTGTCTTATTAAAAAATAGTTTTATCTGTTAATGTGAATAAAAGTACCAGTAAGTCAACTGAAACATTTATTTCACATTGCTATAAAGAGTTTTTATTAGAATTTACTTCAGCTAAAATGAATTCTAAATTTAAAAACAGCAAATGAACACTACTGATGGATTTCATAAGCATACTAAAATTATTCTGTAATTCATTTTTATGTTTATCCATAGAATGAACTCATATTTTTACACTAAATCAAACATTCAGGAAATAATAATTTTTGATGATCAGCTTCACTTTATTTTTAAGATAATGATAAAAGCTGGGAGGCAAATGTTATAGTTTTGGAATTCAAAAACAGACTTCCCAGTTATTTGACCTACTTAATCCCTCTTTGAAATAATGTCTGTACCAAAGGGACAGTTGGAGGCTTAAATGAAATAACATATGTGAAGTACCTGAAAGCACAGTATTTCAACAAAAGTCAAGAAAGAGAAAGGCAAGAGAAAAAGACATACTCTTTCTGATGTGAAATTATACTATGCCTACCCCTGCTGGCTTCAGAGAGCAAGGAGGTAGAAAGAAAAACTATAAAATTACTTTGTTTTCAGATGGGCAGTTTGAATACCCACATCCCCAAGATGCAATAGTACCAATCTCAAACTGATTTTTCTAACTGGTATTAGTGTCACTCGACTTCAGTGAGAGTAACTATTCTTTAGGAATAAAGTAACTTTCTTTAGGACAGGTATAATTACTGCCTCTAAGAACTTAGAGGTGTCTAAAAAAAATGTTTCACTATCAAATTTTCCTATGCTACTTCACCTGAAGCACTCCATCTGTCCACCTTGAAAGAAAACTGCTGATAATTTTAGAGTACAGAACTTCTAGACAAAGATGGATTGAACACATGCATATATTTAAATGCTTGTTCAAATGCCTGATTGCTTCTCTTAGGAGCCAAATAATGTTCTAGGTGCTAATGATACATT